TAGGTCGTAGGTCTTCGTTTTCTAGGTCGTCGTTTTCTAGACACCCCAATGTCCTGTGTAACCTGTGTGACTAACTTATTCTTAATTAACGTACCGAAAGCTTGTCTTACCTTAAGTAACAAGATATTTCCGCCTTGATCAAATCACACGAGCGAAAAAAAATTGCAACCAAGAAATGGCCTGTTTGGAGTATTCACAGATTCACACATCCGCCGCCATCTTAATTTTGAATGAATGATTTTCCAGTAATCGCGCGCGGAGACCCATTTTTGCGCACAGGATTCTGGGATCGCGAGGGGGCAAAAATTGCGAGTCGCTACAAAGAAATGTATGGCGTGGAGTTGTTTCTCCGTTAAAAGCGGTGTCTTTGGACAGAGAATGCCGCATTTTGCCGTGCTTTTAAGAGAAACGGAGGAGACTAATATTGGGGCGTTGAAATTTTAAGTTTCTGTGCGATTAATGCGATAAATTCTGTCGATAAACATTCCTTGCGTGAGGTTGAGGGTGAAATTTATATTTACTGAGAATCTTGGGGAGAGTACAAAAACACGCCGGCGGTCCGCCGGGGGTCCGTCGAGGATGTTCGTCAGAGATCGTCGGAGATTGTGAGCTGGATGACATGGCTGGGAAGGTTAGGAGAAGAATGTGGGCTCAGGTTTTTTTTACTTGTTTGTTTGTTTAGTAGTTTCAAAGGAATTCAATTGCTGTACTTTTAGTACATTTACTTTTATGTAGCCTCTCTTCCTTCTATGTGCAAATCGTTTTTCCGATGGAAGGTTAGGAATAGACAACAAGAAACGTGTTTGGGGTGGTGAGGGCTGTTCTCGTTGGCCGGCATATTCCTGTAGGCTACAGCCCTATGAGTTATTTTTTCGAGTTTTTCAAGCAAGCAAGGTCAAGCCCGAGGCAGGTGTGGAGAGCCGGGGTGAAGCGAAAACCACGGACTTTGATCAGATCAATGAAAAACGGTCCCCGGTTACTAACAAAATACAACAAAACGCATCCACATCTGACTCTGTGATTGAACTTTGACTTCTGGTGTTTTTCCGCGTTTCTTGTCCTTCAAAGGGAATTCCATTATTTTATAAAAACGGTTCTCAGTGACAATGGACTGATTTTCAATTGTACTAACAGTTATGTTAAGCTGGTTGCTACAAGTCACAGGATCATGAAATCTGCTTTCAAACTTTTCCTCTACCAATCCCGGCGTAACAACTTGAAGTAAATCCGCGAACGTTTTTTAATCGAACTTAATCGACCGACACTACAAAAAAAAAATTAGTAATTAAATCGAACTTTTATTGAGCTCGATTAGGTTCAATGGTCAAAGTTGGCATTCATGCGATTAAAAAATAGGACGTTATAAAGAAAATTGCGCGTGTTTTCCCGAATGTTTTATTTTTTGTAGGGTATCCTACCACTGAGTATATTCCGGGAGTGATTGTGGCGGATCAGTGTACAGTATAGTGTATTTTTTTGCAAGAAGAAGAACACCCGGGAAGAACAACACTATTATTGCCATATCCTCAATCACACAGTGAATATTATGCTCCGTAAAATTTTTTTTTTACTTTATAGCGTCCCTTTTAGGTTCAGACCTCCTCCACTTTTGCATCTACAGTAAAACAAGCGATCAAGCGAATTCAATAAACCCAGAACATTTATTCTTCATGATCGTAGATAATTTGGTTGTTTTGTTGCTTTGTTTTTTGCCTATTTTGAGCGTAGATTAGAACGTTTAAGTAAGTTCGATTGCTTCGATTGCGTGCGAAAATCGAACTCTCATGAATTTTTTTGGTTCGACTGTGTTCGATTACCGAACGGCAGTTCAAGTGGTTACGTCGGGACCAATATCGGGAGCAAGTACAGTGCAAGACATAAATGTCGGATTGGTCGATTTCATGACACTAAAGAATAAAGACGGTTTATCGGCCGCCACCCATGCACAGACCGACAGCTACTCCCTCATCAAAATACGCCAACATAGACAGATTAGCCTGCGTGAGAGGCGTTTGAAAGGGAAGGGAAAGGGGGTTTTGAGCGCGAAAGAAACGCGAGGGGGGCGCCAAAAAAAACCCTTTCCCTTCCCTTCCAAGCACCTGCCACGCAGGTCATAGACGGATTAGTTCGACTCCAGTAACTTCAGATTTAAACTGAATACAGAAAAATCCAGCGTACATAGGCTTGAATTGAAAAAAAAAACCGAGGCGCACCGGAAGTAGTATCCAGCATATGTAAGAGAAACTAAATCTGAAGAGTTCTTTAACGAGCTTGGCTTGACAGACTCTTGAAGTTCGGATGATGGATTTATTTTTCAAAAATTTCAGCTAGTATTTCTATAGTTTTTTTTTCTCCCGATGGATTTTTGCACTTTTTTCAGCTAACTAATTTTCTTGAATTAGCCATTTTTCCAGCGGGTATGATCACATTCACTTATTCAATATCCTATGTCCAATCTGTACATTTTAATTTTTTTTCCCGTGTCTAAATTGTGAATTGATTTATAAGTCCCTTAGTATCTTTGTGATTAGACTTAACAGAAACTATAGGTTAAAAATTCTTATAATTTTATTTTACAAAATGCAGAGAATCAGAGATAACTGGTAAAACTTGTTTTGCTATAATCTTCTTAGGTCATCATACTAGATTGTTAAAAAAAGAAAAACACGGCGAGAGGCGATGATAAACATGGTAAACCAAAGCTTTTTTTTCTATAAACCTAACATAAACTTTGCCTCATTTTCAAAATTAATTGTGTTAATATCAAAATTTCAAAACGATTACAAAATTGTCTAATCTTGGCTATCACACCCTAATATCCGGACTGTACGCGTCCAAAAAAATCCAGATTGTTTGGATTTTCGTGCTAGCCGGAACAAACATTTGAAATAACTGGATTGATCCATACAGCAGCTGCCTGCTGCTCTGATCTTCTTCTCAATTTCAACAATTTCCCCTAAACTCAGCGTCTTCTCTTAGCGGAGAAATGGAAAGAAACGTTGCTTTTTAAATAGTGGTGGTTCATACTATTGCCACTTGTCAACTTAAAATCATCTGGAATTTGATCGAAGAACATTCAGAAGACAATTACAAATGTTCAAGTGCTGAGAAGCGTGCTATAAACCCCGGCGAGCAGGAAGGGAGCGGATATTCCGGATTTCAAGTGACAGGGGTGATCAAATGATTTTTTTTGGTTTGAAATTTTCGATTTCGGGATTTGTTTGGGTATGAAAAGTTTAGCAAGTATTTTTTGGCAGCTTGATTTAAGTAGGAATTGTTTTGGGTATTCAAAACAATCTGAAGATTCATGATAGTTATATCATTTAACGCTTCCTGGAAATTTTGATGACTCTGCACGGGATATTTTGCTGGTTAAGTTTTGGTCCAGGAAGTTCCTTGGGTTTTGTTTAAAGCCCTAGGAATTTTTTGGGGTTTTGATTTTTTCCCCATTCGATCAATCCTGTCACTTAAACTCCGGAGTAGAAAGTTAGAAGCTCAGGATTTGTACGGTAAAAAATAACTATTTTTAAACATGGATTGATGGTAGTCGACTCAGGCACGTAGGGCCAGCTGCGGTACCACGGTTTGAAACGTGCGGAAAGAGAGTAAAAAACAAGGTTTCATCCACCGTTAACTGTTTATTTTCTGATTTATCAACGCGCGCTTTGTCGGGTTTCTAGTTATAGTTTTCTCCGGACCAAGTCCGTGTTTTCCCTTTTCGGCGCTGACTCTCTTTCCAGGTCTGTTCACCGTGCCCCTGATGAGAATGACAGACCTTCTGAGCAGACTAAAAATTTTTAAATTAACATCAGTCTATGTTCCTATCTAGATTAGTGAGCTCACTAGAACTTAATAACAGTGTAACATAGCTATTTATCTATTTAGTTCTCGTACCATAGCTAAATGAGTATTTACCACTAACTTAATGCTATACATTCTTATTAAAAATAACTAACGTATTTGTGGCTATTTTTTCCGCAGCTACATGTAGTTTACGCTCAATGAACTAATGTGTGGTCATTGAACTACTGGTGTGGTTATTGATCTGTTGTGTACTTATTGAATTGCTGTGTCGTTATTGAACTAACAAAAAGAAAAACTGATAAGACTGAGATGTAAGACTGCAGCACTTGAACCGTTCCTGGGAGAGTCTTCAATGAAAGAGTAGGCAATTTCTTCTTACTCTTTTTGCTACTTTCATTTTGCAAATTAATTCTGAAGTACTCCAGGGAGTCTGAAAGTAATTTTAACATTGGTGAGGGTAATGTGCTACACTTCAGGATCTGGGAGATTAGCCGTTTACTTTCAAATAACATCTGCTGAAGAGATTCTTGCGTTTGAGATTCTTTGGCCCACAATCCACTTGATATTTTGTACCACATTTCAGAGTTCTATCTACTAAGGATTTTAGTGGTTAGCTCAGTTGGGAGAGCGCCGGTCTGCTGAGCGGGAGGTCACGAGTTCGAACCCCGGCCGGACCAACACTCAGGGTCTTTAAAATAACTGAGAAGAAAGTGCTGCCTTTTTAATGACATCTGCAGATGGTTAGACTTTCTAGTCTTCTCGGATAAGGACGAAAAACCGTAGGTCCCGTCTCACAGCAGTTACACTTATCTGGTTCTTGTGGGACGTTAAAGAACCCACACCACTGTTCGAAAAGAGTAGGGGACGTAGACCCCGGTGTTGTGGTCAACCTTCACACGTCACATCATTCACATCACGGGTTGGGTTGGTACAGTAAGCTCTTAAATGGACTGAGAGCGGCTGCCAGTGGCGCCTTTGTATGCTGACGTCCGAGCTTACTGTTCACATGTTAAAGTATTGTAAAGAGGGCACGTCTGTTGTCCTCTCATCCACGACTCTTCTTCTTCTTCTTCTTGTTCTTCTTCTTCTATTGCCTCTGCTTGAAAAAGTAATGAGAGCTTTCTGCAGTCTAACACAACACACAAGTGTGATGGCCTTTCCCCTGGTGGTACTTTGGGCTCCTCAAGATTCCCAGCTCCTTGAAGTAACAAATCAGATGAAGTCAACGGAAGTCAATATTAATTAATATTAGAGCTTGTAAAAATTTTGCTGTTTATCGTCCAAGAAAAGATATCCTGTTTAAGACAAAAATTGATAAATCGATACCCTGATTAAGACAAAAAATGATAAATTCGATACCCTGTTTAAGACAAAAATCCTGAAAAACACACCCTGACAGGCCGCACGACCCCATTAAGCCCTTATAAGGGAGTAACCCCCCCCGGTTGAATTTCCTTGTCCATCTTTTCACTGTCATAGCTCTTCCATGCCTTAAGAAGCTGGATGAATTTATATAGGTCATTAGGACGATCGAGAGCCCTTTCAAACTGTGCCTTAGCAATTAGCCGAGCAAAAATAAAGTAAAATGTTTTGCCAAGCTGATCTACTGAAGGGATAAACTTCAGGTAGTTTCCATGATGGAGTGATAAAGTGTTGTTGAGAAGTGTCCCCACTGAAATATGAACAAAACAATTTGCAAGTTACATGTAACTTAGTTTTTAGCCCTCAGTTAGTCTCACACTTAAAACAAATGTGGCTTGCTCATTGGACAACTTATATTTAACCCATATTTAAGCCTTACTGGCCCTGGATTATCACACAGCACTTTGTATGTTGTGCCCTGCTTGCATCACATTAAAAATGCTATTACCTTCCATTGTGAAACGTGTTGTATGTACCAGAGATTAAAAGCAAAAGTTGCATCTGTAACTGCAATAATCTTCTTTCATATGATAACCTTCACTCCACAGTTCTCATATATGATTTTCATATACAGTCGAGCCCTGCTATTTCGAAGGAAGATCGAATTCCCTTGGATTTACCCTTATGTTTTCAGTCATTTTCTATCAGCTATTTCGAACTCGGTTATTTCGAATTCCCCGCTATTTCGAACTCATTGTTCTTTCCCTACCCCTTAAATCAACCCCGTTATTTCGAACTTGTCAAAAACAGACTACATACATAAGAGCACAGCTGGAAACGTATTGCATTGTATTTGAGCTCGGGTTGCGTAATTAATGACTTAACAATGCTTCACTCACATGCAGTGTCCCGCTAAGAGATTCCAGCTGTGTATTCAATTACAAAACAAGATGCACTGTTAGTGAACTGTTCTTCCGGCTGAAATACTCATGTATGAACTCTGCTGTCCCTATTCTGATCATTCGACATATTTAATCAGTGTCTTTTTTCATACTGTATTGCACTTTATTTAGCCTGCGAAAACATCCCTTTCTCCTCGCTCTTCGCCGCTGGGGAAGTTTCGCTCCCCAGCGGCAAAGAGCGAGGAAAAACGGATGTTTTCGCAGGCTATATGTTATTAAAAAATGATTCATTGTTACGAATTTTACGCTTCCCCGGTTATTTTGAAACCCCGCTATTTCGAACTTTTTTTCCATTTCCCTTGGGACTTCGAAATAGTGGGGTTCGACTGTATTCACAACTTCATCATCATCCTTTCATGGGTTTATTACAAACCAATTCAACGATCTGCTCCCAGTTGGCTTGTTAGCTTAATTGGTAGAGCGCTGCACTGGTATCGCAGAGGTCAAGGGTTCGAATCCCGTACAAGCCTGAATTTTTTCAGGCTGCCTTTTTTGCAACTCCAAAAGTTGTGACTATAACTGCGATGATCTTCTTTCATATAGTAGTATGAATATTCTGGCAAATATGTGGTTGTCAGCGTCACAACTGACCACTTTCTAAGTACATACATGTACGTCACAGACCATAAGAAGGTTGTAAATCTTTAACATGAAAGTTAATTTTTATTCCTACGTAGATAAAACTCATTTTCAAGTAAAAGGTTTTACAGCTGGTCCCATTTTGAAAGACCTTACTCCTAAACAACAACTGAAGATGTCCACATGGTTCATCTTACCTAGTTTCAAGGCATCTGTGACCTCAATAAGGTCATTTCCCTTGGCTTTCACATTTTTCAAGGTCTCTATAGCACACCTTAGGAACTCGGTACAAAAAATGGCGTACTTTGAAACAGTTTCCTCTGTAGCTTTGCCTCCTGCTTGGCAGCCATTTTTGTTTTTTAGGGGACATTGCAGTGGACCAAGATAATTCTACAATTTCCACAAAACAATATTAACAAAAACATATCAAGGCTACCCCATTCGAAACATGGAGTTAAGAAAAATGAGAGGCTTTTGACAAAAAAGACGTCTAACATAAGTGTAATTTATTAGGTTGAAGTTCACTCTCATTTCTATGACCTACTCATTCGCATGTGGATCGGCGCGATTCTTGCAATTGAAGAGTGTAACAAGACGCTCGCTTTGAAATGAACTAGATTGTTATTCAAGGACACGTTTTTGAAAGTGAGTAAGTATCTTTGCTAACTAGGCTACAAAGTGTCGTTAATCAAGCTGCCATAATTTTATAGCTTAAATAAATTTAGCAAACACTGCAAGTCTGCACTGAAGTCCGTAATTGCTCAGCTTACCTTCGTATCCTCATAAAGACCATCTGTCTCTCCGTTTACAAGTGATTTGAGGATTCTTTTCCCTTGCATGTTTCTGTAAAGCTCTGCCCATAACCAGTTCGCTCTTAACAAGGTGTTTACACAGTCCTTTTTGATAGTGAAACTGCTAAAAAGAGTCCAAAATGGCGCCCTCGTCTACCAAACAACGCTGGTTCCCAGGGCGCCGCGCATTTAAACAACTTTGTGTCGTCACGCAACGTTCGTGATGACTCAATTACCATTTTCAAAAGTTGCGTGATGACTGACCCATTCCCGCTGTTACAGGCTGGTCCTGTCAGCACAATTTTTGCTTTATATAACATTTGACTCTAAAAATAGTCACTTTCTTAACGTCAAATCAGGAGCGGGAAAATTTTCATGTCGCTTTTTCCAGTTTGTCTTTATTAAGGTTCTTAACCCATTCGCCCCACGGCCTTTCTACCGCTTGTGACGTCATCAGTTTTGTTTGTCACGGATAACTTTGTCCGCTAACTTCTGCAAAGTGAAGAGATCTTTCAAACCATACCAAAATGAGCACAATTCAGTCGAGGACACCAGAGAAAAAGGCAAAAAAACCATGTAACACAGACCTGAAAATTTCCATGGAAATCTTGTTCCACTATAGCCTGCGCGCAGACGAAATTAAACTCTGGTTAACTCCGTCTGCGAAACAGCGCCGAAATCCTTGTTCTGGACTTCCAGCTGTGCACCCAGATTTGAGTACGCGCCACGATTGGCCAGTTAAAAAAGGCTTTGTTTTGTTTGTCGTGATCGCCAATCAGGTTGAAGGGGAATTCGAAACGCACTTCCGGTAATTCGTTGAGTCCGTTGGGGGCCCAGAACAAAGATCTCTGGGCTGCTTCGCAGACGGTACTAATCAGAGTTTAGTTATCGTCTGCACGCAGGCTAGTTCCACTACCCACCTACCTTTCCTTTCATCTAATCCTAGGATCCTAAAAGCTTTCCTAAAAACTTTTCCTACCAAAATGAAGCCTACTAAATACCCAGCGAGAGAAAAAAATGGGGCAAGAAAAGCGAAAAAAGAGGGGAGGCGAGAAAAGCGAAAAGTAAAAGTCAGGACTGCTGTGTCACTTTTAAACCCAACTCGAAATTTTGCTTTCTGCGCATACCCGAACTTCGCAAGCTAATATTTTGCATCTGGATCAGAAGGCCGCCAAGTGTACGACCTGTAAACGGCTTTTTTGTAGTACGTTTTAGCTCTTTATTGCACGACAGTGACCAGAAAACCTCTCGACTAGCTTCAAAAGGCTTTTTTCGGCAAAATCTCCAAGGGCGAATGGGTTAAGTTTTTTTTTTTTTTTGCAATCAGTTTTCAGCTTATTACAACAATGTATAATTTCTGTGTTGTCCTCGCAAGGTGGGGAATTTTTGTTAAAAATGACAAATGTCTGGAGTGGAATAGCCTGATTGGAAGAATCCTGATTCTCAGGCGTCCGAGTTCGTTCGCGCCCAGTTCGCTTGTCTCCCTCAGGATAGGGGTGGAATTGTACGCTTAGAGCCGTTACTATTAAACAAGAGCATATCTGAAAAAGGAGAAAAGAGCCTAGATGGAACTTACGCTAGCATTCTGCGAATGGTGAAAAATACATCTTGGAAAGACAAGGTTTAAATACGATGGCAGTTTAGAAAAGGAGCCCACTACCATTCACATACGGAATAGAGTGCTTTCACATGATTTCACGGCGGCCACATTGGTGTCCCAAAACAATGAAACGGCGGCCATGATGGTGTCCCAAACCAGTCCTGTGAAAGTTGAACTCTTTTCTTATGCAAACGCTTTTTTTTGTTTCAATAATTTTGCATTTATATAGATGCTGGCCACGTGGGTGAAAAAGTTCTATACGCCACTTCCACATTTTCCATAATACACCTTATTTGACTTATTTGCCCCCGCAAATTTTGCATGACCTTCCTGGGCATTACAGCCGTCCCAAGAGAAATTGAAAAAAAAAATGCTTATGCAAAATTGGGTGGGGGTGGGCAAATGAGGTTTTTTATGGGAAATTTGAAATGGCGTATGAAAGGATTGCACTACCTACTGTAGGTCCCTAATTGTTTTTTCGGGATCCGGGATTTTCCTTGTTTGAAAGCCGGAATTCGGGATTCGAGATTTAGAGTACTATTGAAGATGCGGGACGTCAAAAACAACCTTCGAGATTACGGGATGGAGAAAAAATTAGGGTCGGAAAGACGGGATAATAGAACCGTATTAAGGACCCTCTATCTGGATATGTTTTAAGTAATGGAAACTGTCCAGCTGATAATGTGGGTGCTAATACACGGAAGGGCTGCAAGAGGGAGTCCGACAACATACATAAACCGATATTGCTGAGGAATACTGGCCTGGAGAACGTTAGAGATCTTGAAAGTTGTATGAGCGATGAGAGATCGAGCCTCATGGAGGAGTCAGTTTTTATCCCGTCGTCTTCTAGGCGTCGACCAAAAGTAAGAAGAAAACGAGTTTGTCAAATGTGCTCTGCGAAAAAATGGTAACGCCAACTCAGAACAACATTTGCAGAAAATAAGGTGCAAAAGTTTTTATTCTCACACAATAAAAAGTTAAACCGACGCTTCGCCTTTGGGTCGTGCCTATTAAGTGTACTAAATACAGTAAAGAGAATAAATAAAACTATTAACAGGTAGGTGAAAATCATATGAGTATTTACAGATTAAAACTGTTACGAAGATCTCTTACCGACAAAAAAAAAACCATCGGTTTACTTTGTTTGTGTCCTCCAGGACTTGCTGTCACGTTGAATTTTATAAATCTTAACTCATCACATTGTTTTAAAACCGCCTGAGCAAATTACCTCATGTAGGATATCACTGGGATATATAGCGGCGGAAACGAACTGAGTATGAATTAGTTTTTTCCCTTCTTATAAAATTTTAAACTCATTTTTATATATTTTTAGGTACCACCCATTTTATTACCTATTATACATTCTACTTCTGTAACATTTGCCTTGGTGTGAAATCTACCCAAGATTGTCCCGACTTAATAAACTGTAGATGTGGATGTTGATATATGGAAGAATATACCGTCGGCCCTCAGGCTCGGTCAAAGACGAGTCGGGCTGACCCCGAAATATCTCCGCCGCATTCCATCGCCGGACGTGAAAGAAAACCTGCAGCTCCCAGCGTAAGTGAGCCGTTGACTGGCAAGTTGAATGATTTTCGCACCAACCATATACTAAGTTCAGAACGCTGTTTTATAAACTTATAGAAAAAAAACCTAGGAATCGAAGAACACAGTTGTTTTCGGCAATGTATCAGGGGCAACCAACGACTATTTTTGGTAAAAACCCCAGTTCGAAGGAGTAAATTATTGCCTAGAAATTTCTAAAGTTCGAACAGGACTAAAAGTTTCTGGATAACCCTTCCACTCGTCTAAGCAGAAGCATATAACCCCGAAGCGTCTAACTTTCCCTTATCTGTTGTCTAGATCTATGCTGTGGTTTTTTAGCCGACGTAGCCGTCCAATCAGAAGCACGGAAAATTATTTTGCCCAAATATGGAATCAGAGAATTCAAGGCTTAAAAAACTCTACGCTTGTGACGCTTATAAACAATTATTGAATGAAATTGTTTCGTGGCATAAAAAGATAAAGTAATTACCGTAAAATTCCGAAAATAAGCCCCCTGGCTTATATTTTTCAACGGCCCTTTTTGAGGGGCTTATATACGGAGGGAAATTTTCGTTTCAAAATCGATTGGGCTAGCATATAGTTGGAAGGAAATTTACGTCAGTAATTTGCAGAAAGGTTTTACTGAAACTCGCCTTGAGGACGTAGACCTTTCTAAAACGCTGGCATGCAAAAATGCAAGTACCTTGTCCTGGACGAGGAAATCCAAGCCCAGAGTGAATAGTGGACTAAGCAAACAGCGATAAACAGTGACACTTTCTGACTGTAATCATTTGGCATACGTAATAGTTATTTGCCAAGTACAACAATTTATATAGTTACTGTACCGTTATTGCTTTGTTTTTCTTTGTATTTGAGAGCAATTTTTCAAGTACAAGCCTCCGGGGGCTTATATTCGGATGGGCGATTTAACGGAGGGTTTTTTGCGCTACGAGTTTGTGGGCTTATATTTGGAGGGCCGTATACATTGAGGGGCTTATTTTCGGACTTCTACCGTATGCTGCTATAATATGCAACCCTGGGGAAATATAAAGAGCCACAAAGTTGTAAAAGGTATGGCTTGAAAACATCGATCAGCGACGAAGTAAGACAACTGGGAGTTTACATTTCTTCACGATAGCGCAAAGCCCCTCGCAGAAATCAGCAAAATGCATCTGGAGCCTGTTTCAGCGAGAAAGATCATCAGGCTACCAGCTGTGTCATTTTATATAAAAAGTTTCAACGTACTAGCTGCAAACCTATCTACCACGCAAACCAATTATCTGTAACTTCTGTTCTTATCCAGCAAAACAAGCATGGCGACTTCAAAGAAAATGATACGGCAAGCTTTGCAGAAGCGTTGTACAAGGCGCAAACGAAGTCGGAATTGTGAGTGTAGATTTTTTAATTCATAATTCAGAAAAGTACGCGAACACATAAATGGCAGTTTTGATTAGACGCATGACATGTAAAGGCTTGTTTTCTTTTTGGGGACAAAGAATAGATTTACCTTCCAGGACTTCGACCTTGTTTCCTTTACAGCGGAGCGCTTTCCCTTTTCTCAACTGCAACCAAGTCAGCAACCTTTTTAAAGAATTTTCAGGTAAACTTACATCTTACACACAAAAACGCGCAACTTGTTTTGCAACATTGTGGTAAAACGAGTTGAAAAGCGGTGTTGCGCGTTTTACCACCCATGTTCAAACCTGTTTACAACCTGATTTGGTTCAAGACAGGTTTTTGATGGGTGGTAAAACGTGCAGCATCACTATTCAACTCGTTTTGGTACAATGTTGCAATACAAGTTGCAAGTTTTTTGTTGCCTGTTTTTCCGTTGTAATTATTTTGAGTACTATGAGATAAATGGATAACTTAAGGACTGTGACTTATAAAGCATCGACTTTCGGATGAAAAATTCACACGCACTTGACAAAATAATAAATTATCAGAAAGTTATAATTTTGAGAAAAGTCTGCTCCGTAGAAAAGAAAAAAATACAATCATTCCCATTCCTCCAAAAGCTAAAAGAACAACTACAAAGAACAAGGCAACCGCAAGAAACAAAGGAAGTCGAACTGGAAGGGGCTATAGGGATCTCTTTAGGGAAATTGTGTAGACATGGACGGATTATGTATTGAGAACACAAGTAATGCACAGGAAAGTGAATAGGTCAGGTGCTCACCAAACGCTGGGACTAGACAGAACGGTCTTGTTAAAACAGAACAAAGAAAAACATGATCAGATAAAACATTCTTTATTAGAACAATCAACGTAAGAAAACAGCTATTAAATAGAAAGCAAGATTCCATTTTGATATATATATTATATATATACATTTTCTTTTGATGTAATCATAACCGACCTTTAGATATTCACCATATTCTTCTTCTATTCGCCTTACAAAGTTCTTAGAGATTAAAAAATACTTGTTTCGTCCATCATGAACAGATGTGATAAATAATTCATCCATGTCTTGTTAATTGCAACTGGAAATAACCTATCACATCATTCTATCTTAATGAGATGGATGACGTCATCGGCGTTAATTTATGATGCCACTCAAAAAGTTAATTAAATCCACAAAAAAGAGAACTAACCGTGCCTAATCCACTACTTCCAGGGCTTGCACGTAAAGCCCTAAAGGGTTTGTTGAAAAAACTAATTTAATATTTCTGCTAAAACTGCTATTTTCAAGAAGCAGATAAGATTCTTTTAGTTACTTACAATTGAGGATCAAGACAAACAATTAATTTGTTACAAGATTTTCAACATTCTCTTTCCCGGGCTGGAGAAGGTTTAAGAAAACTAGCGAATGGTTCATTAAGAAACACCAGGTTTTCCAAATTTCAATACCTCGTAATGCGCTGAGGAAAAGTTCTCAGGTCCCATTGCAATTTCTCAGAATTTGTTCGATTATGTTCCCGAAACATTGCAGTTAATATCAGCTAATCCCCTCGTGGTCAGATTCATGGTCCTTTGTAAATAGAATCCAGTTCGTTAAACTTTTTAAACGAATAATGTTAACCAAGTGTCACATTTCACATGTTACTTTTCTTAAATCTTATAAACACAGTGGTGGCTATTAGTTAACTCTAATAATCTCATGAACTATTCTAAGCTATAAGTAACAAGGACAAAACGTTCGAACCTTGCCGATTTATATTTTTCCAAACGTTGAATTACGGTTATTTTGTCAGGCACGTGTAATACTTTATACAAAACAAGAAGACCAAGACTGAATATCTAGTACTCTTGTTAATAAAATTCATTTCTTAAACAACTGCATAGGCTTAACGTATTTCACTTCTGGTCCTTTCCTTTCTGTTGCGTGGCAGAGAGGGAGGAGCCAGAAATGGATTGGATATTCAATTGTACAATGTAATAAAAATTATGTATTTGTAGTTGATAGGTGGCACTCTGTGTCTAAAAACTTTGTTCTCATTCCTGGCTCAACTTCAATCTATTCAAGTATACATTATCTACGGTGCTACTGAAAGTTAAGCTAACAAATCAATACCGTTAGTTTTTAAACATTGCTTCGTTTAAATTGGGATGCTGATTGCACTTAAGTAAAGTGCATTACCAGGTTGCCAGGTTGCATCGAAACGACCTGTATAAAGGGAAAAAGTGTTTTTTAGAAAAGTCTACGACGCACTTTTTTTGGAAACTGAATGCGTCTTCCTATACATTTGTTGGAGTAAACTGCAAGGGGAATACATATTGTAAAAAATTGTAAATTGTAATTTCTCACCACTGCGCCACCCTTGCTCCCCTATGATATATGATATATGACATATGATAAGTAACCGTTGAGTTTCGCATTGAAAGCAAATGCAAATTTAATTTTCCCGTTTGAAAATGCTGCTTCACAAGAACCGTAAAAGCTCCTTACCTAGCTTGCAGCTGTAAGTGCTGTTGGCGTTCATACCAATCCTAGGAAATGTGACTGTTTGCTTTTTTGTACATTATTTTTTGTTAGGGTTGCGTCTTTCCATCATTTTATTGCAAATACATTAGAATCATTTTCGTCATTACACAAACCTTAGGATAATCGATTGTTAACTCGCTGGACGATCTTCTTCGCTAACCCCAAGGCTTCTTCTGCCATGTCAGCCGAGTACACTTCGTTTGGAATTCTGGGAAAGCACACTCTATTTGGATAGCGCATGCGTGTAGAATTAACCACAAGGCATTCCAGCTGACGCGCTAGTTGGGTCAATTCAGAGTCTTCTAACTCTTGGCAAATTAGCAGCAAGTTATCTACATTTGTCCTCTCCACATCTATGGCGTACTGTGCAGCTTTGAGAGCCTTCTCTGCCGCCTATGACGAAAATTCTTTCATTTAAGCAGAACAAAATGTTTTGGTCTTATCGTAATTAAGAAACATCTATTGTGCATTTTCCATTTACTTTCAAAACTATTTTTCTTATGCGATATACAAAATAAGTATCTTCTAAGTCCAGATCAGTTGTTAAAGCCTCAAAGGAAACGGCGATACCTAGTTTCTGGTTTTTTTTGGCATTCTTGTCAAATACTGTCTACAGCTCATACGAGAGACAATGCATCTCATAAAACACTAAAGGGTCGGCTTCGAAAACATGTCAAGCCATTCAAATTGAAAGAGAGACAGGACAAAGTTATTGCCGACTCAAGAAAATACTTTGCCTAAAGGGCAAATGGCGGCAAAAAGGATCAAAGCTTATTACCTGGTGACATTTGAAACACGCCCATTCATAGGAGGGTCTTTGGTACACAATATCATTCTCCGTTGCTGCGATATCAGCCTTAGCCTGCCTGAGCCATCGTCTGGCTTCTCCTGGTTGAGGATTCTTCGCTCTGGCAGAGTTTCGAGGGTATTTCTGTCTGCATCTGTATCCTTCGCGCTGCGTGTGATGTTTTCTGGCGCGTGCTTCCCAGGAGTGGAAAAAGTCGTCGTAAAAGCCATGCTTACTTCGGCTGGAGCTAACGTCTGAGCTCTGCTTACTTCCCCGAGGCTCCCCTCTTGTCAGCCGCGAGGCTTCACTCTGGATATGTTTGCAAACTTCTGTGCAGAATTCCTCATCCCCCACGTTTTTGTCAGGATGCCGTTGAAGATAGAGCCGCTTGACGATTTTTCGGCGTTTCTCCTCTGGTAATTTCCACGTATCTTCTAGAAGTTTCGAGATCTCATCAAATACTTCTTGCTGGTTTCTGCTTCTAGGTCGTTCAGGAGGGCTCCGTTCGTGACGTTCAAATACTACAATCGCAGATGACAGGCTTGACAAACGATGAAACTTGTAAAGGTCTGCGACATCAACCTCTAATTCTTGGCCACTCCCAATGTTGATTTTGTATCTCTTCGTCAAGAGAGGAAAACTTTCCTCCGTCACTTCCCTGAAAACACTTGCATAGATGTAAGTCGGAACACCCTTCTCGCGGTTTAGAGTTGGATCTTCGAGCTCAAAACCAACATATTCACCAGGCTCAAATTCTTCAAAGGCGTCGTTTAACAAGTGATGGTCGATAAGTGGAATAAAGGTGCCAAGTTTTGGAAAGATATCAACTTCTGCCCGCGGAACGTAGGAGTCATCTGGACGCACATGCAAAGAATCTAATAACGAAGACATGTCGCAGGGATCACAATCCAACAAACGAGGGATCGTCAGCGCTCTGTTCCCAAGAAGACCTTCCGATGCGTCTACAATTACGTTGGAAAGCATGTAAATGTGTGCAAAGGTTTCGTTCATCACCGATAGCAGATCGAGATAGACAGTCCACCTCTCTTCGTTTGAAACAACACTTTTCTCTAGGACGAAAGATACTTTCTTTTGGCTGCCCGGAATAGGACTGCCGTCACAAAGTAAGACACTTCGAAGGTTCTCTACAACGCAGACATCAATACTTCGAAGGCGTTTTTCGACATTTGCAATGGCGTCGTCGTTTATATCCTTCGTGATCTGGTTCTCGTCCCGTATTAGTCTCACAATCGCAGCAATGAACTGTGGGCAGGACAGCTTGTGTTTGAGAGAATTCACAGCTTCAACCGATAAGGTTGTTATCTCATTCTTTGAGGAAATTGTTTCTTTAACTAAACTGGATAGCATTTTGGGTCGTAATGCAGTTGGCAGTTTCATCACTAGCTCTTTGTAGTTCGTCATGGCAGAGCTGCAACTCACTTTCATTGATTTCAGGTCAAGCAGAAGATGGTCAAAATTCTGCAGACGATCGAGAAAAGAAGGGGAGACATCACAAAACACCAAGTACGAGGATTGTTGTAATGTCACTGGTATAACAACCTCCGCCTCATCTAAAGAACTTCCCCTGAAGGATATTCCCGGAAGGTATAGCTGTGAAACGCCCGACACCCCCTCCACGCTTTCCTCGAGCAGTTGAAAAAAACCTTTTACTGCTTTAACGCATGCTGTGATCTCATTCGGATGTAGTTTGTCGTTGTTAGATTTCAGGTACAGCATTTGTAACACCATAGCGTAATGGGAAATCGAGACATACTTTGAACAGCCAAGCGCATGAAACAAAGTGTGAAACTTTCCAAACTCTCGAGGTAGGCTGTATAGAAAGGGCTTGATTTCGAGATGTTCATATAATTCGAGCACTACCTGCGATGGAAGAATAAATCTCTTCCCTTGCTCGACCAAAATGCATGGCGTATTCACCAGAACTCCTCTCACATCGTTGCCTGTGCTCAGCTTTGTCTGCAAGAACTCGTAAATGCGTTCCATCACTACCTTTAAAGTCGTTCGTTGCTCAAGTGAGGAAATATTAGCGTCATCATTGTTTTCTTGGGAGTGACAAACGGCTTGACAATGACGAACAACAAGTTCTAGAGGTGGCTCTGCAACAATTTGAAGTTGAGTAGTAAAAATCTTGCAATATTTCTCAGTGCTCATTTGGGGGGGAGAGCTAAGTTCACGGCGGCAAGCCATTGGATTCGCCCAACGTGGAAGTAAATGAGCCTGTGTCCAAACAATTTCAGCATACTCGGATGGAACTGCCCCTTTGAAAGTACAGAACGGAATCTGGTAATCCCTCATTCCCTGATATGGCAGGCAAAGTTCTCGCAGAACTTTTCTTACCGGCTCACTACTTAAAAAAGGTATGTCGGATACGGTAGGTACGAGACCTTCAGCCACTACATTGTGTCGATGAAGAAGATGTTTTACCAGAACTTTTGACTTCTCAAATGTCGTCTTTGTTCGCGCAGTAGTGGCTTCGTGCGCAACCTCTCTGGCAAATTCCATGAAGTGATCACGGGAGACCTTGTGAATTAAACCTACTGTCCTAAAAAACATTAACCATTCTGGCGAATTGAGTGGTTTCAAAGGGAAATTGCTTGGAGGGAGTATTATGCGAAAAACGTCGACGTCAGGATCGTAGAACGAGGATGCAGTTTGAAGCGTTCCATCTAAGGAGGGAATGAATGGAGTTGTTTCCAAACATTTCCTAAGCCTTTTGTTGTCCACGTCATCCTCCGCTGAAACAAGGCATTTACGAATGTACTCAAGGTGAACTAGCCTCCCTTTTTCGCTGAAGATGTTAAACGTTGGCAAAATGTAAGTGCAGTACACGTCTACGGCAGAGACACACTCGAGATCCAGGAATTTGAACAAATTTGACAGAACTGCCAAGGATTCAATGAAGATCAATTTTAGGTGACACTCCAAGTTTTCAATTTCCTTTCTCGGTATCCCAACTGGAAGGACACAAACACGGCGATCACTATCAAGTGGTGCAAAGCCACCATGCGTCGCTAGGAAGAACGGAAGCTTTCTTAGCTTGATTTTGTCTGCCTCATGAAGGTAGGCCACACTTCTACTGAAGTACTCCAAGATTGTTTTACAGTGCTTGGGATCCAGTCTTTTAGGTGACTGAGGGTCTCTCTCAATCTTATGGTGGAGGGCAGCAAGTAGAGAAGAAGGAACCTTCAGGGAAGAAACCATAAGAGGTGCAAGCCGAACTGCTGAGCCCAAGTTTGACAGAACAGCATAGTTGAGTTCGGGTAGACCGAATTTCTTTAACACTTCCATGAGACTATTATTGGCAGCATCTGAACTTCTGTAATCAAGGACACCCATTGACTCACACAAAGGAACGAGTAAGTGGGTAGAAGTTTGAGGTGCATTTAAATCTAATGGAAACAAAAATCTTGTCGTTGCTTCGATTTTAGACTCAGTAGCCGGAAGGATACTCCAATTAGCAAGAGGTGCAAGAGCAGACTTAATCTGGAGAGACTTTGCTTGTTCAGGTAGGCTTTCATCACCAAGAATGTTGGAGAAAATGTCACTTAGGAAAATCCACACTCTAGACAACCATCGTTGGTTGGGAAGATGTTTTTGATTGCAAGACCACTCTACAAAACGACCTTTTCCGTACTGTTCAACCTCCAGCGTTTGGGTCAGGTTAGCTGAGAATCCTTCAACATCTAAACACCGCACTGCCGATGATTTTAAGATTTCAGTATCGTTGAACACTTTCTCTTCAAGGTGCACATGCACAAAGATATGCGGCGAACCAGGCAAAATATCCTGAAATCTGGAAAGAAACTTGGGGTCCTCACTTGAGAAGAGTCGAAGATGGTCGTCCTGTGTCAAAAGTAGTGGAAGATCTGGCAATTGATCAGCAAACTTCCTCATTTCTTTACAGTACAACAGTACAAGAATAACCCCAAAGGCATCTCGGAAGGGTGTTTCGCGTATATTGCAGGGGATAGATCCAATTTTACACAATGGATCTCGAGAAATGAACGATTTATAGAAATCAACCACTGAACTCGGGGTAACAGTACACGTGCGAATTCCAGATCGTGTAAGTGATTTATGCAAATCCAAGGAGAAGGCCACCAGGTTGAAGCCACTTTCAATTAATATTTCTTCAAACCTTCTTCTTGCCTTTCTTTGGAGTTCATTTCCTTCCCTCTGTGGCAGCCTGGCAAAAGGACCTGTTTCTGCAAGGTCATTAAAGAACGCCACCTGTTTTTTTCCCTTTCCAACAGGTGGAAACCAATTAAGCTCAACAATGTTCGTGCCTTCACATCCTGGAAACACTGCATCTGAATGTTTGTTTCTTACTACTGGTAAAACTCTTACTTCATTGCTTACCATCTCAGCGTAAAGGGAATCTACCAGTATCTCCCAGTTCGAATCCGAAAGCGGCTTCAGTGGAAAGAAGCTTTCGTAGGCTTTGATGCTTTGCGAAACCTCACCTTCAGAACACGTTAAGGTGCAAGGTTTTCCGTCTGTAGAGACGGGCAGTTTAAGGAAATCTCGCACTTCAATTAATAGTCTGAGATAGCATGAGGCCACCACATCTCCTAGTAAGGCCTTGTTCCAGTCACTTCGATATCCACCCCCTTCGTCTCTCCACAAATTTCGCCTGGCTTCGTGGTCCAGTGCAAAATGCGCATTGATGTGCACTGGTAGATCTGTTTCAAATGGAAGTGGAAGAAAGCAGTAGGCTTTCTTACCTCGCCCCTCATGGTCTTTTGAATTCTTTTCTAAAATACAGGCAACGCCGCCACGAGGAAGCATTCCCAACTCCTTTCTCTCGAAGGCATTCACTATACTTTTTTTCACCGCCTTCTGAAATCCGAGCTGTTCCACAATGAGCCATTTCTCCTGGTGGAGAAAAGTGTCTGAAATATTCAGCACGTAAGACACCCTCGCTGCTGGAATATCACTTGGAAGGGAATACGTTCCAACCTGTTTGATCCTTTTCCTAAACGCCTCCTTTTTGACTTCATCCTCCTTTGTCATCGTAGTTTCAACAGAGTAAAAATTAACAAGTTCCCCGGTGATTTTGTGAACCTCACAGATAGTAATCTTTTTTACATTGTCGATGAATAAGAGGACCTCGAACAATTCCTCTTTTAGGTCCTCCAGCATTGTGTCCAAAATCTCAAGTGTGACAACCCTTTTTGATATTTGAGAATCCACAGACATCTGTCTTGTTCTCAGAGGAAATCTAAACATTGTGCCATTTTCTATTTGAAATTGGTCCTCCAGGTAACACGGAAAAACATCAGGAAATCGCTTTCTTAGGTGCTTGATGTCCTTGAAAAGTATTCCAGGTTCTTGAGGTGTCGCGTTAGGAACATATTTGCAATTTGGGTCAAATGCGCACAAAACTTCTCCAATGTCCTCTCCTTTAGTCATGAAAGAGGGTACATCGGTCAAGTTGTAAACAGCATTAAATCCGACTCCATACTTGCCAGTCTTGTTAGGATCATCTCCTTTACTGCCTTCGCCTAGGTTACGTATTCCCTCAATGTCTTCATTTCTGAAAGGTTTGTTGTTATACACACATAACGCAGGACCTTGCAGAGGCTTCCAAATGTCTTCAAAGACTCTTTCATCTGAATGGTGTCGAGGATCTTTAATGAACCAAACCTCAGTTGCTTGTGCATCATCAGCATTTTGAAGGAGCTCTTTCAAAATCTCCTTTTCAGAAGAATAGCCTGTTAGAATTCGTTTTAAGCGGTTTGCGAGTTTCTCTCGTTGCCCAAAGGGAATTCCAGATACACGAGGTCTCAGGGCTTCTTGCTTCCGTGATTTAACTCCGAGTTTCCGGCTTGTTGGCCAAGGAATGTTGTCATTCACGAAGTTGACTCCTTCTTCGTTTGGCAACCAAGGGCAATCTCTAACACAAAGGTCAGATACGGACCGCATTAGTCCTTTGGAATCGGGTAGGTATACCATTTCCCACTGTTTGCTTGTTTCAGTGGGATCGAGAGTTTCACCTAGTAGTTTTGCAAGATGTGTTGCAACTTGAAGGCTTTTCTCATCTAAGGGATGCTGTCCAAATCGTTCCTTTACTTTCTGTAAGCTTGAAATGTAATCCTGTTCATCGAATTTGTTTTTAACACCAGCTGCTCTCAGTAATGGGGTAAAGGACAATGCCAATTCATGGGTAATTTGGAACAGATACGGAGAGCAATCTACAGGCAATGTAAATGCAACCTGATTTGCAGAGAGAAACCTCCTATCGACCAGAATAAAACTTATTCCTCGAAGAAATGCTATGATTTCATCACTGTAATGGTCGAGGGAGTTCTGAAGACATGAATAAAGATTGGTACAGACGACGCGTAGTTCTTTGTACTCGGATGTATTAAGTAGATGTACTTTGACGGACACCGCTGCGGTCAGTTGCTGTACCACTTGATCCAATGTGATTTCCTTTGCGTCGAGATTTAACAGGGATCTTAATTCTTTTGAAATGGAAATCCCAATTAACGGTTCTGTGCAGCAAACTAAGTACTTTTGCTCCTCTAGGAAGGCTTCATTTGGTGCCAGCAGTACTTGCGAATTTTTCAAAAGTTCTTCTCCCTTCCACGTGAGAGGAAAATTACTTGGTTTTTGGAGAACGGGAAGAAATTTAGTGTTTAACAAACGAATAGTAATATCTGATGCAGGTTTGTCTTGGCGAAGTAACTTCTTCTCCATAAAAGATAACAATGCCGTTATGCGCGCCAATGCCTCTTTGCGACCAACTGAATTTAGCTTTAGGATACTTTCGGCTCTTTCTGATAGCTCGGACCAAGGAAGATCATTTAATGACATTCCCAGTTGTACAAGCCTGGCCAGCCTTTGCGGGTGAACATACGATTCCTGAGTCCCATAAGGAAATCTACCTTCTTCAGGGGAAAATAGTGAGGCTGCTTCTCCGAAGGGATGAACGAGAAAGCTTGGAGTATTCAGAGCGTTGCCAGTTGGTGAAGACGGAACACAAGGGTAAAGCCTTATCAAGTCATGGAACTCCCCACTTTTGTCATCTAAAGCATGCAGAGTCAGGACATCTCTAAGATTGGGGGGAAGAATGTGAACGTTTGGAAAGAAGACTTCACAGAAAAATCTTTTTTTGGTATATCGTCTGGTACCAATTGCTTTCTCCAGGCGACACTGTTCGAAAGAATCCAAAATATTGGAAGGTAAGTCTATTACTATTTCTCTACCCCTGTGACACATTTTTAGAACCTCATTCGCGGCCTCCCAAGTGTAGGCCTTTTTCCGGAAATATGGATCGAGGAAAATGACTTGCTTGATGTCAGCCCAGTGCTCTCCATTGGAGAAAAGAGAATAGCCACCCCTGCTAAGTTGTGTGTAAAACGACACAACAAGTGGCAAGCAGTTTTGTTGCACTTCTGACGTCTTTGGCCATAGACAATGGAACTTGTATGAGCCATCTATAGGAGCAAGGCCTTTCATGTCTTCGAGAAGATCTAAGAAAGCAGATGCTATGGAGTCGCGCAGCAGTACATTGTTCCATTCCACTCCAAAGCCTGACTTATCGTCTTCCAATTTCATTTGCAAATGGCGTCTATTAGAGGCCAAGGCAAATGCCCCATTTATGTGAACTGGTAGACCACTGTGAATTGGTAGTGGCAGATAGCAGAATATGGTGCCTTTCAGATCCAAACCATTGAATTTGTTCGAAACTGGCAAGGGCAAGAAAGCGTTTGACTCTGTTGGCAGCAACTGAACGGCTGCTCCTCCGGATGGAAGAAGACTGGCATCGTGATTTGCAAACTTCAGCGCTTGGCCATTACCCATAGACGACACAATGAGCCACGTTGCCTTTTCCGAATGGACACCTTCATGAAAGAAATGGTAACCACTTTTTGTTAACCTGCACTCGACTTCAACTATCATGGACGACTTTGGAAACTCTTTGGGGTCGACTTTCTCGCCATGTGCCAAAATTTTGCTTTTTGATGAAGCTTGAAGAAAGTTGCTCTGTTGAAGAAAACTCTTTTCCTCTTTAGTAAGCTTAAATGCAGTTGGAGGAAGGTTAATTGTAAACGACAGTTCTCTCAAGACTCCAGCATGGGATGCCGATTTCGTGACCTGAAACATCAATGTAGGTTGTGGATCCTGGCTTTCTGTGTTTGGCAAGTGATAAATTTGCACAGTTAGAACATTTTGCGTGAAAAGAAGTACATTCTTCGCCCCCTGGAGAAACATTTGCAACAATTCTCTCATCTGCTCTTGATTGTACCATAACTTCTTAATTTCACTCGCTGAAGCCTGATCTTTCGTCCGCAGTGGAAATCGGAAAAGGGTTCCATCAAACGAGTTGTCCTGTTTATCGAGATGTAAATCACAGCCAAAGACACCATTGAAGGGCTTAAACTGATTTCTGAATTTCTTAAGTCTTTTAATGTCTTTGTTGAGATTGATTTTAATTCCCGGTCTTCTTGTGTTTTTGATCGCTTTTCCCAGGAAGGAAGTGTGAGGATCAAAGATTGCCAAGTAGTTCCTACTAACGAACATGGGCACATCTGTAAGGTTGTACACCACATTAAATCCAAGTCCAAATCTGCCGATCTTTGCAGTATCATTCGCTTTGGTTGTTTCATTTAGTTTCGTGATGTTAACAAAGTCTTCATCTTTAAACGTGGCATCGTTGTAGACCCATAAAGCGGGACCCTGACAACCTTCCATTCCTTCGTCAATCAGGAAGGTTTTAGCATCCTCGTTAGTCCGCTCATCGTAAAGGAATCTAACCTCAGTAGCACCAGCATCGTCCGCGTTCTGAATTAGTTCTTTTGGCACTGCAAATCCATCAGTATAGTCGTCTAGTAGTCGATTGAGTCTAGAAGTAAGCCTTTCTTCCTGTCCGAACTCTTCCTTAATGAACAGCTCGTCAGGATCTAACATTCGATTTGTAAGAGAAGGAACACCAAGAAGTTGAGCAGTACGGTTAGGAACGTCGGGGTGCACGTAAAAGTATTCCATGTCTTCATCTTCGCCGTCGCTCATCAGCCATTCGCTGTCTACACTGTACATGCAGCGTCCAGCTGATTTAAAACGTGCACATTTGTTGTCATCGAAATAAACAGGAAGAACAATCTTCTCTTGAATATCTGGTGGTAATTTCTCTTGTGCCAACTCGTTTAATATGCCAACAGATAACTGTAGGTCGTGCTGGACTTAAAAAACTGATAATGAAGACCGCTCATCGTCATACTTTTCTTTGATCGCGTAGAGAACATGCAATAAGACAGATGAATCGCTCTGTGATTTAACTCCAAAAAAATCAAAAAGGCGGATGAACATCTTCATCTCCGAGGGAAGAGAGCGTATGTAGGGCGCAAGATCTATACGTGGCTCACTGGAAAGCATTTGGTTAGGTGAGGAAAAGCCATCTCCATTCCATACCCAATTGACGATTTCGGTTCTCTGAAATACCTCACTTAAGGTTTCGTAGTTGGCGAGACTGAGAAAGGTATAAATTTCGTGTAGTATAACCATGTAATATGGTTTCTCCTCTTTGGAATAACAATGTATTACATTTCGCAGCTGCAATGCGACATCGGAGAAAGAGGGTTTTTGCCAACCAAAGTAATCAGAAACTTGATTTAAAGGCCTCAATTCTAAAACGGGCTTAACAGTTCCAATGAGATTCACAAGTGCAGGACTCTTTAGCTCGGTTGGCGTGAAAAAGCATTCACCTCCTTCTTTAGCATCCCACCATGGAAGCGAAGGAGGAAAACTTGGCACTTTCTGTTCCAGCCGTGTCAGCCACTGAATGTTCATCAGTAACAATCCCAGTTCTTTTCCATCGACTGTTTCCTTCAACATCTTGGGGTGAGTGTTAAGATGATGTAAAATTGCCTCAGACTTCTGTATTGCTGTTTGGTGGTGTGAAAGTCTGCTTATTTGATTAGCACTGTGGAAGAGGTCTTTGGCAGTGATGTTGGATTCGCTTTTCATTCCAAGCTTCTCCAAAATAACAAGTGTGGCTGGTTCATTGTACATATCACCTTCGGGAAAGACGTCTTCTTGGGCAAACATCCTTTTCAGTGAGTCCTTTCTGGGATCAAACACACCTGACGCCCTAACCCGTTCTTTCTTTTTTGGGACAAAGGCCAAAGCTTGCACTTGCCGCTTGAAGTTATCGTTTTGAAGGATGGTATGTGTAAAGCATCCAAGCACATAGAACATCACCTTATCAATTTCATCGTTATTGTAGTTTCCTTCATTGATGTCCGGAAAGATCATTTTGCAGAGAACATCTATGGGCTGTAAAATCCTTACTTTTAGGAGTTGTGCCAAAGTCCTGGAATCGTCGTTTGAAACATCAATGAGGTCATGTAGTGGAGGAACCGGAAGCGCCTCAGAAGGCGCTGCACTTAAGCCATCATTCTTTGACACGAACCTCTTGGAGAGAGTCTCAAAAATTGGAAGGGAGCACAAAAAAGCGCTATATCCCTCCTTCACAACGTCAGATGGTTTGATATTCGCAAGGAATGATCTCAAAGCAAGCTTTTCTTTCGTGGAAACTTCTTTTTGAAGAATTTCTAGAAATCTTCCTGAGGGCAAAGATGAAGCAGTTGTCATCATTGCTTTTACGGCACCCTGGACATGTGGTAAACTCACATAGGTTCCCACAACACCTGGATGGTAGCTTATGAACGTCGGCAGATCATGCAATACAATAACGCAGAGCCTTTTTAACACAGTTGCCAAGATTTCATCAATGCATTCGTCATTGAATTGTTTTACAACAGTCCTACTGGGGCGGGAGAGACGGGTCAAGGTAACAGGTGTCTGAGACATACTTAATGGTATCAGAGGTAGTCCTTCGAGTTGGCGAATATCCCTCACAGTTGGAAAGTGGCGTCGCAGATAATTCCAGATTGACTGGATCCACGATCTTGAAGGATGATGGTGACCGGGGCTATCTGGATACCACAACACAGAGTCACCTTTTTTCCAGTTTGGCGGAATCGACTGCCAAAGAAGTTCAGGTACGTGATGGCATTCAAGGAATCGTAGTTGAGTATGCCCTGGTGTGTTGAAACGCATGAATCAAATATGAGTATTAGCACGTCCTAGACCTTACCGATGACATAACACACGTTTTCTTTTAAGAACCAAAGAGAAAGTAAGACTGATTATATGAAAACCATTTTTATCAAACTTCTATGTTATGAAGATAGATGATGTAGGCTAAACATGCCGAAACCTCTCTTAACGCCTTAACGAACATGAACATTCGCGAATAGGAAACCAAATACGTCACGTACACAGTCAGATGATCTATTTGACTAATTTAAAACCCTGCAAAAATGCAGTGGACAACTGGATTTGTTAATCTACGAAATGCTTTTTATCAAATTAAAAAAACCTAAACTGAACAGCCAATCTGGCCCTAGCCAGGCAAACTTATATTTACCTTGTAATTAGTTGACAATTCACAATTTTTGCCCTTTATATTGTATTTCTCTTTCATTTACGTGCAACTAGACTTTTGCACGGAACTCCTTATGTAATGAACACACGGAATTAAGAGCTACACGAGTTTGAAAATGATGAAATAGAGTCATCAAATGTCTCAGTAGGCAGAATTTTGTGGGATTTAATCCCCAAAAAAAAAACCTTGTGTGGATAACATAGGAATTAAAAGGTTGGTGTGCTCCAGCAGATTAGCTCGTTTGTGACTTCGTAAATATAAATGTAAATCTAGTATCCGAATAAACAACGCTCTGCACATGTTATAAAAAGCCTACCTTCAGAAGCTGCACTTTTTAGGTTTCGAAGAATATCCTCGTCCAAGTCGTTCTGCAGAAATTTCTCAGGTATGCCTGAAAACAGCTCTTGAGGATGTTCTAAAGAGGTTATGTAAACTGCCGTAGCGCGGTTGTCAAATTTGGCAAACGTTCTATTGGCCAATGGTAAAAGCTGCAGGCTATTCAGATCTTTAAAAGCACGATCACTGAGACAGAACTGGAGAAGCAGCAGCTTTTTTGTGTCATCAAGACTAGTGTAGAATGAGGGTACCTTTCTTAGTACATAGCGAATCAAAGGAGGCGTGATTTGCTTTTGACCTGGTGCATGGACATCCACAGCCTGCAGCACATGACTCGGTACACGGACAGCAGGCAAACCGACTGATAACAGAACTTTCAGAAGCAGTTCATTTTGCTCGCCTTCTGCTACTCGCTGAAAAATCGCTTCTTTAACTGCCACCCACTGGCCACCTTGTGCTTGTGTGTGAACAACGTTCTTTTCTAAAAGCAACCGAAATAGAGGCTTCTCAAGCCCCTTCCACTGCTTGTCTATAATGTTAATATCGGGCCACGCTCTGAAACGAGATATAAGAATAAGGTTCTTATTAAGACGAGTACAATTATTTATCTTGAATTGAATTAACAATGTCTCTAATTGTAGCCTGTTCTAGACTCCAACATAACAATATACCGAGATCGGATGGGAAAATCACACGAGAGTGTTTCCCACCACTATCCTCTTCCCCAGATCAGGCTTTTCGATTGACCTTTTTTCCTTGACACACCTAACATCTGGGAGCATGGCACAACCTACTCTAATTGCACCGTAGTAAAGCTTGTTTCTGTAACATTTTTTGTAAAAAAATAAATTCATCCTTTGGAGATCTCCTTTTTTGATTAATTAGTGATATTTAACAATTATTCTTTGAAATCGAGGTGAATAGTGGCAAAATATTTACCGAGCCACGAAGTGGCGAGGTAAATAGGGAGTTTAAGATACTCCGACTACGGACTACGGCTACGGATAAACATGCTACTGCCATGATCAAAACCACGTGACTGTTCATTTTTCCCGCGTAGTCCTGCGGCTACGGTGAGTTGTTGAGCTCTTTCGCGTAGTCCTGCGGCTACGGTGAGTTGTTGAGCTCTTTCGCGTAGTCGGGACTACGGAGAACATTTTGCTCGTATTTTGTCGTCTCGGTAATTCAAGAATCTCGTCTTTTCGTAAAAAAGGTTCAATTTGCCTGCTTTAAGTGAGAGGGAAGCGAAATATGTAAGTTGTGTCTAATTTCTGCTCAGATTTACGCTTTTAATCCACCGTTGTGACTACATTTTTATCTAGCTAAGCTCATGTTTAAAGACGCTTAACTGTTTATACGCAGAATTCCGATTGATGGCCGAGGAGAAGAGAAATCATGCAGGTAATTTACTTTCTCTTCACACTTGAAAAGTTTCAATGTTTGTTCGAAGTGATTAGTGTGTCTTTCTACTTGTGTGACCTTTGTTTATGCGAGTTTTTGTATCGCATTTGCTGAATGAAAATGATGTAAACATCTTCGAGACAACCGAAACTGGGGATTTCAATACTTCAAACTACATCAGATCAGTAGTCGGAGAAGACCATCTTCTAAATCTAATAAATGAGCTATTACTATTTCTGTCTATTTCTTTAATATGTTACATAAGTATTCATGGGCGAAAAAAATAAAACCTGTGCAACCAAAACTTTGTTTACCAATTTCACCTGATCTACGGTGATGGAACAAGGAGTAAAGTTGTAGGCGAATCAACTTGTACGCGAATCGACTTGTACGTAATTGCTTCCTTCAAGTATGGAAGAATTTGTTCATTGTTCTAAAGATAAGATCACATGCAAAACTGACTTGCATTTTTGTGAACTGTGGTGAAAACAAGAAAATTTTGGCGTGTTGTTTCCCTGTCCGCCTCTTCTCTCGTAGTCTGCCGTCTGTAGTGGAATCTTAACGTTCTATATTTGCACGACTCAACCCAGTGCTACAAACAAACGACAACGCTCGTCCAGCCGTAGTTCGTAGTCCGTAGTCTCCGTATCTTAAACTCCCTAATATTCCTAAAGCCACTGTTCACCGAGATTGAAAAGAATAATTGTTTTAGTATATACACACGAAGTGATCTCAACAAAATCAGAGAGGAAACCATTGAAAAGTACGATTTGATTGACAGATCAGGTCAGCTAGACACGCGAATTTTCAAGCATAGCAATTCACAAGCTTATAATCACTTCGCAAACAACAGCGTAAACGTTTGAATTGTTTCCTTACCTGAGAAGAAAAGAAGAGCTTTGTTGTTTTCTGTTGACTCGCCAAGTTTATAGCCGAAAAGGTTTGTTGTGTCGTTCTTCGCATGAAGTGCTGACAAAAATGGCGATTCGGTTCCTCGAGGTAAGACGTTTTCATGTAGCATTCTTTCTCGTGTTTACTTGAAACGTAGAATTTTTGCAAACATTTGCTTTCAAATTTGTTTGTCATAAATAAACTTCGTTGTTGGGCCAAATTTTTCTGTTAGGAAACGCTGAGTTCACAAAACGGCCTCTTCTAGGCGAATTTAAACGGGAGTTGTAAACAATCCATCGACCACAAACTCAAGGACAGTAAATGCAAAAACGCCGTTTTGAATCCTTTGAGGTCTCTTCTTGCCTGAAAAAAAGTCAGCCCTCGGATTTTGTCGACTTTTAAAACATCTTTCTCTAAGAAAATGGGAAAAAAAACGAGCTCACACATTATCCACTCGCTAGGAGGTGAATATTGTTGAATAGTCCGAGATAGCGAACCAATCAGATTGCTTAAATCACCAAGATCGCAGAGTGTGTATATACTAATAACCAATAATTTAAGAAGCCCTGGGTTACAATGCTATTAAATTCCAGGGGCAAAACTAATACTTCAAAACACGAAAGTGAGGAAAATCTGACTTAACTCCATGTGAATAAAAACATTAAAAAAAGATCAAACTTTCGCTGCAGTTGGTGGTTTATGACAGACTTATTAGGCAGGCCAAAATGAATATAGAAATCTTCTAACCTCAGATAAAGATGATCTGCAACAGTTTCATTTCAATGAACAGTATCTGTGAAAGCTTTAACAGCCTACTCTAATACAATGTATTTTATGGATTATCATTCATAATGAATGATTTCTACTAATCGGAGACCCGTGTTATGCGCACAGGATTCTGGGATCGCCTTTGGGCAAATTTTGCGAGTCGCTACAAAGAAATGTATGGCGTAATGTAGTTTCTTCGTCAAAAGTAGTGTCTTTGGACGTAGAATAACGCATTTTCTTCGTGATTTTGTGAGAAGGGGAGGTGACTAATGTTGGTGTGTTGAAATTTCAAGTTTCTGTGTGATGAATGCGATAAATTCTATCGATAAACACTCCTTGCGTGAGGTTGAGTGTGAAATTTTTATTTACTGAATTTAAACGGTGATCTATACATGAACAAAAAGTGCCGAAATATATAGTGCAAATTTAGGTTTAATTGTAGGGGGATAAGCTCATTTAAGCTTTTTATTTTGTAATTACGAGTGGTGATATTTACAACGTGTAACTACGCTCGGCCGCGACCAGCGCTGTTTGGCGTTGTGTGAGTTGAGTGAGGACAACAATGGAAGGTATGTACCTGGCCATAAAACATAAAAACTTCCCCATTTACTTTGGTATAAACAAAGTAACATCTACGAAATGTTTCATGGAAAGTACATGGTATTTATGCATGACTAGATGAGGCCGAAATCGTACGAGAGAACAGTTAGAGAGCGCCGCAAAACGAGTAAGATTTCCGATACAAAAGCAGTGAGTGACTGTAAATAAATACCAAGTTAATGTGCGACATTCAGAACTTATTGGTGCTCTGGATCATGACAAAACATTTTGCTTGTCTATTTTTGGCGAAAAGAAATCAATATACTAACGTGCGGAAGATGGTTTTGTTTTTAAAGTTACAGATCAATACATACCTTCGACCGTTGTCACAAACCGGCACAGCATAGTGATCGCCACCGAGCCGAGCGTACTTACACTCGTTGTAAATATCAGCACAAGTAGCTACAAGTGGAAAGGCTTAAATGAGTCATTCCCCACTCACTTATACCTAGTAAGTTAGTACTACATATTTCGAGACCATTCCGTAAATTTCACAGTCGACCTTTGCAAGAAGGAGTGTTTATCGATAGAATTCATCCATCGATCCCACAAAAAACTTACAATTTCAACGCACCAATATTATTCACTTCCGCTTCTCATAATGTCACGGCAAAATGCGACATTCTATGTCCAAAGACACTGTTTTTAACTGACAAACAACTCCACCCCTTACATTTCTTTGTAGTGACTTGCAATGTTTGACCCGTCCCCTGGCGATCCCATAATCCTGTGCGCATAATTAAGTCTCCGATTACTGGAAAATCATCCATTAATCTTTAGTTGGAGTTGAAGAAAGTATTTTCACCCGAAAGAAACCTTCAGTCAGGTTAGCGGTGGAGAAAGCGAGTTCTAGTCGTCTTAATACGTATAATATATAGATTTAGCCAGGGCTAAAAGCGAAGCTCCCGCTAATAAAATCATAATTTAAATCAAACAATAAACTTGCAATCCACAGATCAGGGCACATTCATGTGACTTTTGCGGCAAAGACTAAGTGATTTTAGAGAAAAATAATGTGACAGTCCAGGAGTGAAACAAACTTTACATTGAGTTAGTAGTCTTATTTGTACACCCAAAAATAGCAATCATGTTCGATCACAGTAGATTAGGCCTGGAAAGTGTATTGTATTTGCATTAGCTGCTGCATCATAATGTGGCATTCACCAGTCTCTCCAACATTGCTCCGTTTGAGAGACTAATAATTGGACAACCCCGAAATATAATACTATGAAGGAACGGTGAAGGAGACTATTTTTCCCGAAACTTCGTGTACAAATTAAGGACAACAACAACTTATCACATGATAAGTTTCATCGATTTTTATTTCCATTTTCTAGCAAATTTCCAGACCTAAACTTCGCCCCATATGTTCTCTATATTTAACCATGTTATGAAATCCGAACGTGGCACTAACAGTGAGCCTGGGTTTCCTGTGATCAAAGCACGCCCTTCCTTTGCACAACAAATTATAGCATTGAGCACATTATAAAACGTTTTCATTAAGAGAATTCCATAATGCCGCGACTTTTCAGTTGGAAAAATCTGTTCCTATGTGATATGCAGTTTAATAGACTTTTAGTGAAAACGATGAAAAAAATTCCCAAAATCACCTTTTCGGCCAGCCGGACGGGTTCTCACCTTTGACAGGCACCAAATTTTCAGTGCGATTAAAAGAGTTACCATTTAGGCTTCATCATGATAGAGATTTTGTTATGTTTAGGTTTTATTTCCCTGTATTTGTAAAACTGTTTATGGTCTTGTTATGTGTAATCTTTAAAAGCTAGTGATTATTTACGCGCGGCGTTTTGAGTATTCCTGCATGCGATGTTTATGTTCGACTCGAAACAACCGGTGCAGCGATAAAAATTGCGAGAGGGACTACTAACAATCAATAAAATAAATATAATTCGGTGAAACATGTACAGAGACAATAATTTTCATTCACGAAGACAAGTATTGAGAGTAAAGTGTCTCTGAAAATCATGAGTCAGGTAAGCATATAAAGCTTATTTATGTATTAAGCCGGCTTCCCCGTGTTTGCTCTTTTTCAAGATGAACTCGAGGCAAGAAAATCGCTCAGAGCTTTCTGTTTACGGCCAAAATCATAACTAAATATTCTTCGGAACCTTTTCTTTGAATTTGCGGCCAAAAGACGTCTAAAGGATTTTTAAACCTGATACTATTCTAGGTTAGATCATTGCTCGTGTATAAACTTAAGCCGCGTAAACAAGACGCTCGACTTCAGGAAACCGAAAAAAAAAAACACAGATCAAAGACAATAATTGCTCAGGCTTACCAGTCGAGATGCTGCTTCTGAAGGTCATCAAGTGTTCCAGAATCGCTTGAGACTTTTCAACCCTCTTACGCCTCAAGCAAGGGCAAGTGAGTAGGCTCATTTTTGAAAACGATGCCATCCGAAATCGGATTTCCAATGACTTTGACAAGCGGTGCATTTGTCAACAAAAAGTGCAATAAACAAACAAGCCATGAATTACAGAACAATCTTGATAGCAGCTGTATTTCATTTTGTACAGCAAGTGGAAAAAGACAATTAAAAACTTCACAAGTTGACACAAAACTCTGTCAGCTTCAGCTGTCAAAGTAAGCAAGTTTCCAGACGCTGCATAAATTTTCCGCATGAACTCACCTGTCAAATTTTGACCAATCAGAACATAAAAATTGGACGTAGAGCGTGATCAACGCGTGACAGTGAGAAAAGTCAAAAACGATTGCCTTTCCTGCATGTAAAAGCCGGTTGAATTTTCGCGTCCGAGGTCAGTTCGAAATCAAAATTTTAAAAGTGCGGCTCATGAACACGACTTATTTTATATGCATTTTAAAAAAATTGAACTTGAGCCTGCGATAATTTGAAAAGTAGCAACTTGTCAGCGGATTACTTCAAAAAACAATCGAACTCAGTGGGTCGATACCTGAGCCCGCGATACGGTCAGGGGATACTGGTCAGCAGAAACACTATTTTGACAGCTGTCAATTAATCAAAACATGGATGTACAATATCAGGTTGCAGGCTCCCAAGCTAGCTAGAAAGTGTGAGATTAAACATTGGTATGCCTGTGGTGCGAACGGACGGAAGGTCGGGTGGTCGATGTAGGTCACGTGATTGCAGAATTTTCTAGGATGGATAGATTTTCTAAGCTATGGGTGACCTCAATGGATAGAAAAATGAGCCCGCGATACAGTGAGGTGATGATGATCAGCGTATACTCTAGTTTGACAGCTGTCAATTAACCTTCATTAGAATGGCGAATATTAGAATTAACGGACTACGAGTTTTCTGATAGTGGTCTGCACATATCCCATTTTGACAGCTGTCAATTGACCTTAATTTGGCTTGCCAATATAACTTTAAACGACTGTCAGCCGACTGACAGCCCGGGGTAGTTTCGTTTTTATGTTGAATTGGTAAGTGTGACATATTATATCAGCTTATATGTAGGGGCAAAACGACTGGTCTTTGATCTGAGCCCGCGAGATGGTCATGTGATAATTGTCAGCGGATGTCTGTTTTTGACAGCTGTCAATCTAATCGTACTCATACGGATGGCTTACAAAACTGAAAGACTAGTCAAGTTGTGCAAGATGTATTGTGACATTTGACATCGGCTTACATGAAGTGTGTGTACGGGTGGGCGTACGCTACGTCATAACCAAATTTTCTCGGATGGATACTTTACCAAATTTTGTTACCCATGGTGCTCCGCTGCGCACGCTGCGCACGCTTCGCGCGCGGGAGCTCCGCTATCACTTTCTTCGCGAAAACTGGACAGAAAATGAAGACGTCTCTATCCTTCCAACAGATCTCATTTGACTGACTTCACAACTCAATTTGCTCGACTTCCCGTTAAAGTTAGAAGGTCTTGTTTTTCTATTTCACCAAATATTGGAAAATATCTGTAAGATAATTCAAGCAAGTAAACGATTCCTTTCAACATGAATTTGTTTACAGGAGTAAACAATTTTGAGTGGAGAACAAATTTGATTAGGGCTGTATTTAAACATGTCACTTACTTATAGATTGCGTTCTTGGAAATGAAAGCAGACTTCTCTTTTATGGCTTCCAAGATCATGGTAGCGTAAGCCTCAGGAAGGGCTTCTTCGAGAAGACACTTATTCCATAACAAGGACTTATCAGTCATTTGACGTCCTGCCTTCTGACGGTATTCTTGATCTGCATTTGGAGACTTGATGTGACGCCTGTTCTGACTCAGAGCGAAGAAACCGTTAACGTGCACTGGCAAACCAGTTAAGCTTTTCGTCTGGATTGGTAACGGCAAGAAACAAAATACGTGGCCTTGGATATCAGGCGTCTGCAACTGTGGACCTTCTGGCAATGCCATAGCAACACCAATTGTGGGGAGATAGCTGAGATCCTTATCTGTCATCAACTTTTTGAACGTTGAAGATACTTGCCCACCACAGAAGTAGTTTGTAACAAGAAATGAGTGTTTCTCTGTCAACTGCATCTCGAAATTAATTGTTTCAATGGTAATTGGGTAGCTCACCGTGACTGGTTTGGGCATAACATTTCCAGGTGTGATTTTCTTCAGAAACTCCTTTCTCTTCGCACGAACTGTTTGGAGGCTTTTCTCCGTAATCTTCACTTGAAAGATTATACTGGGGCTGGACTCTGATTCCTCTCTGGTATAGAGCTCAACAGATTCCAGACTCTGCAAAAACAGGAGAATTAAGGCAGCATCGGCCTTGAAACTGTCAAACAACGTGGTCATCTTGTCTGCGTTGTACAGTGTTCCTGAAAGGTCTGAGGGTTTGTTTCTGAATGGAAAACGGAATATGGTTCCATCATAGAATCCCTGGGAGAAAACTTCATCCGTGCAGTTAAATATGCCTTTGTAAGGAAGGAATTGGTCAGAAAACTCATCGATGGACGCGCGGTCTTCTTTAAGTCGCCAGTACTTCCCTGTTCGTATGCGACGCCTGTCCGAAAAATGAACGCCATGGGGATCAATGAAGCCAATCCGCGAATCACTGATCAAACTTGGCAAATCTGAGGGGAGAAAGGGCCATGTACGTGTAAATAAATTACTAAACTTTAATGATATGCATCACTTTCGAACCTCACTTTATAGACACCTCTCTATTACGGACACCGCTCTTGGACGGCACCTCTCTATTACAGAAAGTTTCCTACTGATAAATTCTCAATAGGGTACGATTGGTTCAGATACAAAGGCCTCTTAAAACTTCAACTGATTACCAACAAAAGAGCACAAACAATGTGAACTTGGGTGTAAATTTAAACGCAGATAACTTTGTGATAAAGCCTAATTGCAGCTACCCTTTCTTCAACCATAGCAGCTTTCCGTCAATTCAGACCATTACTGACTTTTTTAAGCCTCGAGCAAATCGCATTAACTACTACCTCAATGTAATTTCGTCGCGCTGACGTCTACGTGGATCCCGCAACGCTGAAGTGGCGGGTGATTGGTCGCTACTCTTTTCTACCTTTTCTGGACCAGATAACGTACTGGTAACTAAACTACAACGCCAAAAAAACATCTTATCTTTGGCATTTGTGAAAGGTATTACACTTTACCTGTCATGTGAAAAACAGATTTGAATCCCAAACCAAAGCGACCAACTTTCAAGGGATTCTCTGCTTTGATGCTGTCACAGACTAATCGGATGCCTCTCCAATCTTCTTTGGTAAATTTCGAGTTATTGTAGGCATAAAGTGCTGGACCCTATGCACAAGTAAAAGGATAAAAGTTCCATAACTCTTATAGTTATGTTTGTACGCCTTTGATATGGTTTCTCAAGCACAGTAGAACCTCTTCAAAGGAACATCTTAAAAACAGGAAGGGCGCCGTTGTAAAGATTTTGAAACAACAAAATCAGTCTGCAGGGATTGGAACAAGGGCCCGCTAAGGAAAAGTGGGTACTAACAGAGGCACCATGGACTGAACTATGAAGCTAATCAGATCACCATAAAAACATTAACTTAAGACCATCGATATGAGTAGTAACGTGCAAGGTAGGATGTGGAATTTGCCAGGCCATGCACTCAGGAAAAGGGAGTGAGAATGACTATAAAAAAGCACAAGGTTTGAAGGCCGAGGGTCGAAAAGTGAGGGAAGGCCGGAGATGATTTAAAGGAGGAGACAGTAGCTCAAAGAAGGAAAGGTTGGACAGACAATGTGATATGGTTCATCTACGAAACTCATGGACTGGCATGATGGTCAGGTTGAAGATTAAAAGGAACTGAGAAGGTGATACCTGAAATTTTACCAGGTCCTCATTATAAAGCTTATCTGTTCCATAGCTGTGTTTGTCGTGCAGAAATTTGACTTGCGTGGCACCCGCATCTTCCGCATTTTGAATTAGTTCCTGGAATATAATAACAAAAACCACCAAAACTCGTCTACAGAGAGCCATTTTTGTGTTGTATTGAGGAACTGTATTTAAAAAGTATAGAGTTTATAACCATTTGAATAAAGTAAACAGTCCGTAAGGAGATTTTTGGCTGTAATTCAAAATCATTAGGTCTAGTAGGCGCGAGCGCGATTGTAATTTATCTGAATTTTCGCGGAAAGGCCGTTGCTTGCAAAACTACTTTCAGGCTAGGCGTGGTGTTTGACAGCTCTGTGAGTTGAAAGGGCCACGAGCAAAACAGTGGCGACAAGATTTAGTATGGGTGGCGGCGTTGAAAGTTTCATGACAAAAAAGGTAGCAATACTTCTTTACAGCAGCATAATTCTTCCATCATTTCATTAACATGACATAGATAAACTACAGCGTCAACAAAACAGATCTGTCTGGATTAAATTATGGGAGAATGAACTTTCTTTTCAGTGGCGCGAAAACTTTAAATGAACTCTTTCATGATAAAAGTGGTAGCAATATTTGCCTACAGCACCACAATTTTTCCATTATTTCGCATCTTAGCGGCGCGAAATTAATTTTTATTAACTCTTTCGTGATAAAAGAGGCAGCAATACTTGTTTACAGCGTCATTATACTATTCCATTATTGGATTATTGTGGCACCGCCTGGAGGAATTTTGAACTACAACATGACATGGATATACTACAGCATCAACAAAATAGATCTGTTTGCATTGAATTATGAGAGAAGGACTGCCTCGTGCCCAGAAGTCTTTCTACCGAGCTTTCTCCTTCCCATAGTCCCTTGCGCTTCGTCACCAGTAACTCGCGTTTTGCGTTCGCCTCTGTGTGAAAAAACGAAGCTGCAAGCACCTGAAGAGGAGGCAGGGAGAAGGAATTTCTTCTAATGTTTAATGAACTTGAGCACCAGTCTCTCAAAGCTTTCCCTGCCTAATGAGAATGGGCCCTTACACTTCACCTTCGCTCTAAGGTTGAGATTGTTTTTCATTATGATATTTATTTGTTTATTTGCTAGGGTATATAAAGGTAAAAGAGGCTACTTTACCTTCAAGACCTGTCCGTCGTCTGGGCCTTCATCTAAGATTTTCCTTAATTGCTGGATCAGCGATGGTTGAATCAAGTCAAACTCTTCATCAGCAGAGTCCGCTTAATAAAATAAATATATAAGCCGGTAAATACAAATGCAAAGGATAAAAATTAAGTTGTAACTCGGAGTTTCAAACACTAAGCGATCATCAGACTAAAAGTTCCAAAAAAAGATTTCAGTTTTAAGGTGGAAATTTAAAATTCATAGACGGTAAGCTGGTAAATATATCGTTAATATACCAAAATGCGTCCATGATTTAAAATAAAACGGGTGTTAGCAGATTATTGAGACGTTGGCACGATGATATTGTTGAAGCGACTGGAGGGTCCGCTTTCTTGGACTATAATAGATTAGCGCGAAAATCCGTAAAGACTGGAACAAACGGGCAACGGCTGTATCCAACCATAGATGGATAGAGCCTAACTAGCCTGGGTTGCAGACGTCATGGAACCCCTGTTTGTAGCGTCCGCGAAATGAGCTCCGATAACCTTGTTCTGGGCCCCCAACGGACTCAACGAATTACCGGAAGTGCGTTTCCAATTTTCCTTCAATCTGAATGGGAAACCGACAGTGACTTTTTTCAATAGCCAATCATGACGTGCTCCAGTGCGTACTCAAATCCTGGTACACAGGTGGGGACCCAGAACAAGGATTTCGGTGCTGTTTTTGCAGACGGACTTGACAAGAAGTATATTTCCGCCTGTGACACAGGCTAAGCCAAACCAACAATCTTAGTATGTGTAATCAAATGGTGACGAGTGAAATTAGGGAATAATTTCACTTGCGTTTTGTCCAAAGCCTTAAGGCTCGGGAAATTATTAGGATTTGGACAAAACGCAAGTGAAATTATTCCCTAATTTCACGAGTATACCATTTGATTACCTATTAATATCATGGGTGACGAATTACGTTAGCAATCTGGGATGTTTAGACCTTAAATTTGGCTTATAAAGTTCAGAATTTTTCAGACTTTTTCGGCAAAATACCTGTTCGAATCCTTCTTGATGTTCTCTTGTGTGTTCAGGTTTTCTAAAGCGTCTTTTTGTGCCCTGACATCTTCATTCACGGCATTTGAAAACTTCGTCGCCATCTTGACACTGAGACGTACGGAAGGGTTGCCAAAGCAATTTTGTATTTTCACATGTGAAGTTACAAATTAACGCTGAAATTTCGCGCAAAAATTAAGGAGAAATTCGTCACCTATGATATTATTATAATAATAATGCTAGAAGCAGTAATTACTGTTTTTAGCATGGAGTCAAAAAGCAGCAGCAACAACAATTTTAACACTTAACGAGGAGAAACAAACTTTCGAGAAACCCGACGGTGATCACTCAGATAAGGGTTTTTTTTATAATAACGCACACTTTCGTTTTAGATAGATAGTTTCTTGATTATCACATCACACACCCACAGGTTAAATTAGGCGATTATTTAATGCATCAGTCAATTCCAGCTGCGCTCAGCCAACCCCAGGCATTAGCATTTTTTTTTGCCTTCGATGGCAAATTCCCGGCGGTGGGGACTCTTATGCTGTCAAATCCCCCGGGGTGGGGACGCAAAAAGAGGGCAAATGCCCCGTTCTCCGTCAACACTGCAACATTTTTCATTATCGTCATTATGTGAGATTTTTCGTTTCAATTAACGTCTTCCTTTGTAATAGCGCTAGGATTCTAATTAAGACTTCAAGCCGCGACGACATACACCAGTTTACGGTTTTAGTATTGATATAAAATTATTGACATTAAAATTAATAGCGCGCTGTAAAGTTATATGTTATGAATAGTTTTATAAATATGAAAGGATTTTGTTCAAATAATATCAACAGAAATTTGATTCAATAACCAAAAAACGTTGATTCACATTGATAGCTCCAATTTCGCTATGTAATTCTGGCTTGATAAGCAATGAAGAAATGCATGCATAAAATCGAGAACATGCCTTTACAACGCTCTACAATTTATTCCTGTCCTTGAAAGATGAGCCAATCTGCTTTTTTTCCAGTAAAACCTTCTGTGTAGTTATATTCTGATAGGAAACCGCGTGCGTGTCAAAAGCTCGGGAATGGCCCCGGGGTTGGCAAATGCCCGGCCCCCGGCCAGTGCAAAATTTGCAAATGCCCCACCCCCGGCACTGACAAGGCGGACAAATGCCTCGCAGTAGACCCCGGGAAATGACTTTCTATCAACGGGAAATGCCCTTTGTGGATCTAACCCCATCGAATTCGATTCTGGACGAAAAAGCTTGCGGCGAGTTCACCAGTTTTCCTTGTGTTATTGAAACGATGCGCTCTTATACGGATCGCGATGCATCTGAAAATACAGAGATCGTCGGCCTACGTATCCAGCGACAAGATATCCTTCTTCTTTGTAAACCATGGGCACACGCCCCTATCCGACGAGCAATGGTGCTTGTGGGTCGTCGATGATATTCACCTCGACCATGAGGTTCGCCTCGCACCGTCATTTTGTGTCGGGGCGATCTATGTTTTCACCCTGTAGGCGGTTTTCTTCCTGTTCTTCCAGCCATCGCCTCGCTTCTGGCAGTCGTTCGAACCAGGGGCTTCTTCGGTTTTGATAATAACCCATTGTGAACCCCGTCTCGATGTTCTGAAGCTGATAGGCATAGTTGTGTTTGATGACAGAACTGTTTCTCACATTTTTTTCGATCTCCCGGAACACCCCTGTGGTGAAATCTTTATTCTTGTGACAAAAAACCCCGCCATTTTGTAAATATTCTGCCCCTTTCTTCTTCGACCTCCCCGGCAAACTTTGCAATCAGGGTGTTGTACCGGTTCGGAAGTTCGAGCTCCACGCGTCCTTCAAACAGATCAATCCACTTTTGGCGTCGCTTCTGCTTCTGCATCATAGTGCATTGGGTGAAAGGGATCAACTCTTTCCACCTCACTTGCGGTCTGGTGTTCCGAATTTTTTTGGTTTGTTTGGGCGATACTCCCTGAGGGGCGGGCTCCCACGCCGGATTCAGAAAAACGTCTTCCCCTGTTTCCGTGTCGATGGGCCGAGCGACAGGCGCAAACGGAGGCTGGTCAAGAACGGGTTGTGTAGGAATGATTCCTCAGTCCACTATACAATATTCAAAAGCGCTTTACTTGAAGTTAAAAAAGGAAAAATTCCTAAAAAGCTAATAATCACAATTACAATAAAAACATTTCCATGCTATGCTAAAATCTAAAAAAATCGATACTAAGTTAAAATATTTAAAAGCACTTAACATTCAGAGCTATTCTAACAAACTAAAAGCTTCCCTAAAAAGAAATGTTTTAAGTTGCTTTTTAAAACTGGCGAGGCTGCTACTTGTTCTCATAGTAGTTAATGGCAGCGACTTTCATGCAAAAAAGCATGAGCAAAGCCAAGTGTAGAGCAGTTGACTTTTGGAACGAACAGAAGAGATTGCGCAGACGACCGAAGAGCATAATTAGCATCTGGTTTCGGGGACAAAAGATTTTTAATGTAGAATGGACTTTGAGAAGAGAAGGGCCCGTACAAAGTGTCAATTTTGGTCCACAATAAGCAAATTGAATGGTATTGATTAATTCATTGAAAAGTCTATTTTACCTTTCAACTGTACCGCCGTCAATTGCTTAGAAAGGTCTTGCAACTCACATGATTTTTCTTTCAAAATCTTCTTGCACATTCGGTAGTTTTCTTCATCGATAGTTGTCTTCAATCTGACATTCTCAAAGTTCAGTTTTCTCCTTATGTCATCAGTCACAAGGTATCTCTCGGCAATGTCATTAAGGTGACCAGACTGATAGTCACTCCACAGACTCGCAAGGCTTTCCAGGGAGGTGCACTCAAAGGTTATTTCTAGAGACCCCAAACCAACAGATTTTGTGGCCACCTTGTGCGTGTCAACTATATATTCAATCAGACCAGACACTCCTTCTGCAGAGTAAATGGTGCGATGTTGGAAGTACAATTGTATTTGCTGTGCTAGAGTTTCATGGATTATTTTCCTCTGATGATCATTCAGATCTTGATAACGGTACTTGGTGATTATGTCTGAAAACGGACGAAATACCTCTGAGAAATGATAAGGCTTCATATTAGGCTAGCTACGTTCACACTATACCGGATAGATTTAGCGCGAGCATGCGGGGATTTAGTATCCATACCGGATAGGGCTTCTTTTCGCACATAAGAAACGTGATTTCGGCGAAAGCTATCCGCTATAGTGTGAACATAGACAGCCTTCTAATTAAGAGACATGAAAGTCTCTTGTCTATTGTATGATCTGCTGGCTGACTGTGATATTGTCGCCAGATTTGTGTTATCTAACAATCATCCCTCTAATTTCACAAGTGGAAAATAGTAAGCTACTCTGGAAACAGATTATAAGGGTTTAGTTCAGCCTTATTTTGAGTGCTGTTCCTCTTTGTGGGACACCTGCGGCAAATTGTTGAAAGATAAGCTGCAACGAGTTGCGTGCAACTAGAGTTCTCACAGGTTCAGTTATGATATTCGCTCCGCAGCCTCAATGACTCTCTTTCTTGGCAAACACTTGATGAGTGACGGCGCTGGGCAAAGTCAATTTTAATGTATAAGAGGGAATGTCGATCAGACTAATTACCATCTACGTAACACGGCTACTGATCTAACACTTCCTAAACCAAAAAGAGAGTTTCTTTAAAAAAGTTTTAAATTTAGCGGTGCTACGCTTTCGAACCAGCTCCCAAATGAAGCAAAGCTCGCTGAGTCAATCTCTTCTTCTAAAAGCCTTTTTAGATTATAGTTGGGTCTTGACAAGCTGTGTATCTTAATAGTGGTTAAGCTTTTATATGACTTACACGAAATAGCAATAGTAGTCGTAGTAGCATAAGAAATTTTAGTATTAGTTTATATATATAAGGTATTTATATGTGTTAACACGCCCTCCATGGAAACCAGCCAAGTGTTGTTGGGGCTAGCGTGTTTCTCTTGTGTTATGAATTTTCAAATAAAGTATTACCTACCCTTACCTACCTAACTACCATTCTGTTTCCATACCTGGATTACAGGAAGATCCTGAGTTTTTACGCTTACGACTGATTTGAGACTCGTTACTCGTAGATTTTTCAGTTCTATTTCCTGTCAAAATAGAAGCTATCATTTCCGCGCTTCTGAAATGGGAAGTTCCTGCAACAAGCTGCTCTTCAACAGATGAGTATGTTCTTGGTTTGTTGTCGATTTCGATAGAAGGTCCTGTGAAGACAAGCGTCTGTTAATCTAGCAATCTTATTTGAACTGTGAAACATTTGAACCTAGGAGTCATTTCATGAGTAGGTTGAGTATGATCGACCGCGTGAACATAGTCCTGAATAGGACTGTTGTTGTTGACAGTGCCTGACGTTTCGACAACCTGTGCGGTCGCCAAGTTCAGAGTCAAAGTGAGTTGTACACGTCAGTTGACATGATCGGTCAATTAAGTTGCAAGTTGTTGGTCGTCTGTTAGTTAAGCCATGATGTTATTGCCTATGAAGACTCGTATTGTCATTGGTGCGTTTCGATCTGTCTATTGTCATAGTAAACTTGTTAGTTGTCCAGTCGAGGAATAAGCCCTAGCTTCTATTCCGCAAACTATACCTCTTTGGTTACGCTACGTTGACGACACATTCACCGCTGTACACAAAGACGAAATCGACGATTTTCACGAACATCTTAACAGACAGAAGGCGGACATACAGTTTACAAAGGACATCGAGGAAGATGGTAAGATACCTACAACAGTATACGAACGACAATTTACAGAAAACCGACACATACCGACAGATTACTAAACCAATCATCGTACAACTCGACCTCTCACAAGACTACAACTATACAGACTTTGACGAGACGAGCGCAATTATAAGTTTGCGACTCGCCTGACAGCCTAAAAGACGAGACTGACTACCTAAACAACGTTTTTATTAAAAAAAAACAACAACAACAACACCGGCATTGTTAGACGGAATGACTGGAAATTTTTAGCCAAGGCAGTAGTACAACCAAGTAAGATTGATTCTCATGGCGGTGGTGGAAGCTGGGCAAAAAGAGGGGTATATGTTCAGGCTTAAACATTTTTTTTTGTCTTCACTGATGGGTTGTCACTACCACGAAAAGTAAATTGACTGACAAATTATACTCAATTTTTGTGTGGGAGAATGCAGTGATACTCTTTTTCAAATCACTGAATTGGACAGTGACACATATAAACTAGATTTTATTTCTTAAAAAAAACATACCATTGACCATTTTCCACATTCTCTTCACAAGTTCTTCACATTGTTCTTTCCAACTGTACATTTCTCCATAAGACGCTTTTAGTGCTTTAATCTCTTTAAGTCGCATTCTATGCCTGAGACGAACAGCTTCAATTGCTTTTGCCCATTCCGTAGGATCATCTGAATTCACGATGCATGATAAACCATAAGGAACAGTTTCCATTGTTTTGGCAAATCCTGACCTACTGCCTACAAGAATGGGTAAACCTGCAGACAAGGCCTCAAGGGCGACAAGCCCAAATCCCTCTGATTTTGATGGCATAATGGCCAGGTCAGCTTCGCACAAGAAATCTTTCAGTTTCTCTCTACTTTGTATAAATTTTCTAACAGTCAACTGGGCTTCTGCAATACCACGCTGAAGAAGTTTTTCCCTGACTTCTTCTTGCTTTCTATCAGGTGCTCCAACAAAGATTAGATGGTAAGGTTTGTTTTTTAGACGTTGATCAGTAAATGCTTGAGCAGCAATGTTGTAACCTTTGAGTTCAAAGTCCTCATCATCCCCACGACCAAATAACAAAACTTTGAATTCGCCATCCTCGTTAGGATGTTGTTTTGCTACTAAATCCTCAAACTCCCTTTGAAAAAGGCCTAGAGTAATGGACAAAACGTCTTGATCTGTCTTACATCGCTGTAAATATGAAGAGTAGGCTTCTTTCAGTCTGGGTCCCACAGGTACAACAAGATCAGCAAGTTTGCAAAGTTCAACTTCTGATTCGTGTTTTGTTTCACCTTTTGAAATGGGATCAGTGTAGCATTTGTATCTGCTCAGGTCCTCTGGAGCAGTGTGAACCACTTGTGCCCACTTACAATTTGAAAATTGAGGTGAGTCTCTTATGACTTGTACTTGCCGACCAAGTTTCACACCATGGCCAACAACGATTTCCATGAGGTGCTCATGTGGTGGAAAGCTTAACCAATCAAGACGATCAAATGCTGCACGTTCTTTTGCCTCAACAATAGTGATTCCATAGGTATGGGCCTCATTTTTTTCTTCATAACTGCAAGCTCCCTTGGGGACTAGCAAAGAAACCTTCACTGCTGAATGATCAGAAAGGTGAATAGCAAGCTCTCTGTTTATTGTTGACAACCCACCAGCAGATGAACTCCACTCACCACCAAGAAGAGTAACATGTAACGCTGGATCACTGGTCTCAGAATAGCAAGCCTACAAAAACAATAACAATAAAAGTGAACAGTAAGGAGATACAAGACCAAAAGACATACCAGGTTTGGTAACTGTCAACTGTTAGTACATAATTTTTAAACTAATATGATAGGGGTAGATTAGCCAAATTTTCTAATCACTCCAATTCCCCAACATAGTAACACATATTACACTGTCTTTATAGAAACACCCCCCCTCCCACCATAAAATAGATATGAATCATGGCATGTCAACAAAATTCTCAAATTTCATTATCAATGAAACAAACAAATGCCCCCAAATGTAATTTCCACTCCACTCTTGATTTTCACCACACCCATGCACCAAAAGGTCATGATCACACCATAGCATGTAGTTTTCTGTTTTCTTGATGAAAGCAGTTTTTACACAGCATCCAGCAACTTTTAATGTTTCTTTTTGGAACACATTACCAAATAATCATAAAGTTCTCTTCAAAGGCCATGAAATGACACTGTATATAGTGTAATAGTAATAAAATATAGCTTTTTGTAAACAGAATTAAGAAAAAAGAATGAACCTTTGGATTGTCCAGACTGCATTCTGCTTTCATAGTCTCAGGTTGACTGGATGAGGCAGCCATGGCTGATGAAGGGAAAAATATATAATTAAAATGACTTTCCTAGTAGTAACATTTAGCCCTAATACTTAGAGAAAACTTAGGCAATTTAAGCCCCTGACTTTGGTTGTTCTCATGTAATTTCTGAGCGTGTGATATGTAATAATAAAGTTAAGTTAAGTCAAGATAAACTCTTTGCCCCCCCAAAAAACAACAACAAGAAGAACAAAGGTAATTAGTTGTAGTAAAGACATCAATACTCCATACTTAAAATTCTTTACATCTTGTAATAAAACTAGTTCTAGTTCCCTCAGATTTTCTTATTAATTAATTGGCCATGAACTTGAGTGATCTAAATCAAGGGAGGAGACTGACATTCTCAATAAACTAAAATCCAGACTCTTGCCTGGCTCCCAGTTTGGGGGATGGGGTGATGGCAAAGAGACAATGACATTTTGTACCCCTCATAACTATGTACTGTAGGCACATTTTCTTCACTCAGTTTGCAGGGAGGGAGTTGTTGGGGGTGGGGGTGGGGGTGGGGGGGTTGTGGCTATCCCCAGTCTACAGATGGGGGAACCAAGTCAAAACTACATGAAAATGCAAATGCAGAAATGGTAGCAAGAAAGAAGAATCCAAGGTTTGGGGAATGGGCATGAAACACCTTTTGTAGTCTGGCTGACGTGATAACTGAGAACAGTGAGTGTCTGACAAGAGTGATTGATTTGATATACAACTCAGTTGTACTTGTATGTTGATCTGCATGGATGCTGATTTTTTATCTCTTGTTAGAAAATTTGTGTGAGAGAGGTGGTGGCAGAAACTTAATGCAGATCTAAAGAAGGTTTGAGTCATTTTCATAATATCATAGGATTTAAAGTATAACAATGACTGTACTGCACGTTTGTGCCTTGCTGTGGTTTCCCTTTATACATGTATGTGGCTGCCAATATGGTGGAAGAGGCAGAGGGGAATGAAAATTAATTGTAAGGTCCCATAGCCTTTTCAATCATGGGCACCTGAAGGCATGCTCACATAGAACCTTTTGAAATTTAGAAGGGCTCCAAAATGCAATTTTCAGCCTAACTGAGGGCAATAAATACGACACTGTTGATAACTATTTTTAATTTACATTTTTGTAAGATATTATTTCCTGGATTTTCCGCAATGAAAAAGAGCTATTGAGTTAGGTTACTTACAGTTTCCCCAAGCCTCCTTATCAGCAAAAACTGCCATAAGGCATATTAATAAACAGCAAAGAGTTGCCCATGTCCATAATGCTGTGGAGTGCTTGTAACAAGCTGTAGGCCACAGTTATTCAAAGGTCTGATAGTGTTATACACCAAATCAATGCAACCATCAAGTAGATTAGCCTGAATTGTATCCAATTACTTTGGGTCGTTATTACTCCCTCAGTAACATCTCAATCGACCGGCCGTTAATGGTGTCTAGTGACGTCACTACCCCTTTGCTTTAATTCATGTAAAAAGTAAAACACGATTTTCAAGTGGCAAACCAAGAAATAAATATTGTTTTGAAATGTCTACATGATACAGAACAGCTGACAGAATTGCTTTACTCTTTTCGATCGTAATTTATGTTTAATGTTCAAACTATCAACTGCATTCAGTACTCTGAACTGGTTGTAATTCAAACTCGGTTGCAATCACGCAATGAAATAAATACACACATGGAACACTTAGTTCAAAAACACAACAATTTCCTTTAATTGAAAAGAAGCTATTTGGCCCTAATGAAGAAAAAAGAAAACAGGGAAACAAGAAAGAAAAGCTAACAGAATCATTACACTTGATGGTGAAGATAGCAAGAAGGTCGAATGACAACATGACATTGGTCTCAGAAACTAAATGCATTGCCAAAATCACTGCGGAAACCACAAAGCGGCTCTAAATGAAAAACCTACTGACTCTCTGCAATGATTCTTCATTCGCAGCTCAATTTAGTGATTCATTTTTGAAGACAAAGGCAATTTTGCTGTTTACGATAAAGATTATCGAAATGTTTGAACTCCATGCAAGCAATGGCATCGATGCAATCTGCTGAATGTCAAGAGACAATCCGCAAAAATTTCCCATGATGTACATAATTATGCAAATATTTAGACAATCAACCAATCAAAATCACTACCCGGCTTTTGGATAGTAGTGATGTCACTGGATGGCATTAACGGCTGGTCAGCTCAGATGTTGCTGAGAGGAGAAAACCACTCAAAGCAATCGGATGAAATTTGGGCTATCAGTAGATATGTTTTAAGGAAACCAAAGGGCTTTCAAAAGGTGGACCTATTGCTGTTTTTCACCATTCTCCAGCGTTGCCTTTGCCACTTAGCATTACACGATCCTATATTCTGTTAAATATTATTGAGAGCTTCGCTTTTTGCTCTGGCTAAATCTATATATTATACTATACAAGGTGTAACCACCTCAAACACACACCTCTCTTTCCATGTGTGATTTTCCATTATTGTTTACTGCAGGGGCCAGTTTTTCAAAGGGTGGATAACGCTATATCCATCCAGACAAAACATTATCCAATGGATAGTGCAATTAGATTTCCTAATAAATACTTATCCACTCAATCTGGTGAATAGTGTAGTAATCCATCTTTTGAACAACCTGAAGTTGTTGTGCAGTACATGAGTTACAATGGTGGTAGGCAAGCGTGTACATGTTGACAAATAATAATTATTAAGAGTAATAATTGTCTCCTCTAAATTAATTTCTCTTTTACAAAAAGAACACATCAGCTGGGTTAAAATGTTTTTTTTTTCAAAGAACATACTGAACCAGGGTCAACTGACCCCCCCCCCCACAGTTTGCCCCTCCCAAAAGACTGTCACCTCCAGGCCCCAGCCTCCTGACGCCCCCCCCCCCAACCCCCACCATATTCCTTAAGAAATGAAAGAGAAATAAAGAAACAAACGAAAATTTTGGAGCTGAAAAAAGTTAATGAAAGAATCCACCAACCAAGAAAGAAATGTTTGATTATCCAAACTCATGGCATTAGACATTACATGAAATAACTTTTCAACAGGGGCAATTAACTCGCAAGATAAACCTTACCTTCAACAGTAGGTGAATCAGTTCAATCTGGAGGAAGGGGAGAAGCGAGTCAGTTGGAAAGAGACCAGTATGTTGTCGCATTTTGCAAACTTCTATGTTTTTTATCGAAATGATCTGGCCCTCACTGAATGCACCTGGATAATAACAAAGCTGTTTTTTTCTTTTTCTAAAATGTTAGCTCACTAGTAGAGGCCTTTAATCAAAGCCGGAAGTGCATGGAGTCGATCGTCATGAACATTAACGTTTACACTAATTCATCTCGGTTACTGCTGGTTAATGTTATATATACAGTTACTACAAAGAACAGTTTACAAATATTTTAAGTGGAAATAATTTTTCTTGGACTTCTTTACAAGTTAACGCAGCATCAAACCTATACGCTAGCTATTTGTGAAAACAGAAGGCCAAGGACCTGATCTCAATTACAGATCAACAAAATTTCCTGCAGATTTATCAGTGAGAGGATACCTTAAGGAACAAAAAGGCGATTCTTACCCTGCTACGGCTCCAAGATCAGCTGTTCGTATCTTTCTTTCGATGTTCTTCCAGTAATATCTCCTTTAATTTGACGCATAGAATCAACACCGCTCGAATCAGAACAAAACCGCCATCATCCCATGCACCAGCCTCAGGAATCGCCTCTATGTATGCCAAATGAAATGCCCCGAAAGATGTCCAGAGGAGCAGATGCGGTTTCAAGACATGCACCCTTACAGATTCTGTCTGAAAAATTCACCTAAAGTTCAATAAATCCGTCTTCAGGGCTCCTGGTCTAAAAATGCTCCAGCGATTGAAAATATATATTCCCATTTGTGTTTGATATCACCAATATTTGTTTTCTTAAGATTCGTCTTTCCCGCTTGCTGATTCAGCCATTAACAAGCAGTACTGAGTTATGTGCTGTAAAACTTGCTGCGATGCGGTGCGCGTGCGTTTAATAGTCACACGAAACGCATAGGAAAAAAATAAAATTTTTCTACATTAATTCAATAAGTTTGCAGTTGTGCTTATGTTTTAAACAAGGAGTACATCGAGCTTCGTCGGAATCTAAAAACCAAACTCTTGTAATACGCATCACACTTGCAAAATTCTCCTCTTTCATTTCCTGGAAAAAGTGAATGTAACCCCATTCAAGTTCCGTTGCATTCTGACGTGTCTCGGGATCCTCATTGTATCCTAAAATTTCTACAAGAATTGAAAAAAAAAAAATCTTCCTTTATGATGAGTCTAGCCTGCCGGGCTAGCCTGACGATAATAGCATTATATCAGTTGAGACAAATATATTACAAATATACCTCCTATTAAAAAAAAACTGTCGCAATGGAGTGTTTAAGTACACTGCTTCGTTTTTCTTCTTTGTTATTATAGTTTCTATAAGCTTTATGTATACTGCAAACGGGAAACGTCAGATTCAAGTTGAGAATTTCACAAAATAGAAAATGAGAAAAATAAAAAGAACTCAAAACGATTATTATGGATAAAAAATTGAGAGAAACTACGTATTTATGTGTTAAAATAATGAACAGTAAACGACAAATGTACTGCAAAGGGGAAACTTGGTCACCTGGTACAAATTTTGTCACGTGATGCTTAACCTCTCTAATAGACCTCCTTAGCTTGTATGTTTTGTTTTCCCAATACAGGTTATGTGATAATACTCTAGAGAACTGTTTCTTTCAAATTTCGTCCTGTTCACGTGCATATGTATGTAGGCACAAAAATACAAAGTGTCAAGTTCCCCTGGGACCTCTATTGGGAAAACAAACCATACAAGCTAAAGAGGTCTATACCTCGCAATCCAGTGCAACAAGAAAACCTGGAGGGGGGGGGTTACTCAACAAATGTTTATTCGAGGACGCTCCACCCCGAGGTCCAACCTCTTACCCTTTATATACCATTTTTCATGAAAAAGGTACCCCTTCCTGTGAGGCCTGTGGAGAGACATGAAACTTTCCCGGGTAAATGTAAATTTACTCTGTGTAGGAAATATCGCGTTCGGTTGCTTTTCCTCGACTTCAAAAGCAGTATTTTACATAAAACATAATATAAGGAATGTTCAAGATGATAAAGAGAGGCTAGAAACGAAAAGAAACTGCATTAAACCATCGGAATTTACCTCTGAAAACCAGCTCTTCCCCGTCGTTCTACCCACTTCGAGTTTTTGGTGAGAACTCGCCGTAGTGCAACTTGACAGGACGACTTGAAAACGTGGAGATGCGCAGAACGGATGTGCAGTACGCAAAATCGCTGATCTCTTTCTAGAACTCGTACTCGTTGTGGATGCTAACATCCTCTAATAAACAAACTCGATCGCGATTACTCGTATTGGCAAATTTTACCACTTGTTCGCCCCCTGAAATACCACGTGATATAGCTTTTATCCCATCGATCTTAGAGCACATGCAAAGATGGCAGGTATCGTGAATAAGGTCTATTGTTCTTGTTATACCACACACAGCCCATCATTCCTTTGCTCTGATAAACTGGGCTCGAAACGTTAGATTTCATATCTCTTTACGGTCACATTGAATTTATCAACTCAGTTGATGAAAGCAAATCCCCCCCACCGACGCAGCACCAAAGTTGAATTTGAATTTGAATCTAATTACTTTATTCATCGTTTCTAAATATCCTTGGAAGTCCATTCAGTGGCAAAAGATAATAAAATTGTGGATGCTCGACTTCGCCTGCCACGGACGAAGACTTCCAGCTTTGAACTTCAGCTACAGCTGCAACGTGGGACGAGGGGAGAGGAGGGTTGCTGCTTCACTGTTGACAGTTACCAATCGCTGCTGATTTTGCTGAACTTGCTGAAAGCCTACAAAAAAGTTCTTAGTGTTTAAAAATAAAAACGGCTTTGTTATCGTTGCGGTTAACTTATCATTTCGTGCCTCGTTTCTCTGTGTCAATATATTTAGTAGAGGTGTCAACTTAACTGCAAATAAAATCCCCGCAAATAAAACTTTTTGGAAAACGCGCTTAGATGTCTGACTACGTGGAGGTAGAAGTCGTCGGTGGTTTACGAATTTGCTTTCCTCTTGGAACACTTTGAAAAGTGGTCATGGCTGAAACTCGATAGCTTGTTACAATCAAATAGCCCCCCGGTTATTAAAGTGCTACCAAACCCAGAACGAATCTAGTAAAAATAGCAATAATTTTTAGTTCGATGTCTAATTACCGGGCAAGATGATTTTGACGGCATCAAAATGATCTTATCGGTATTTTTTCTAACATGAAGTTCATAAAATAGTGTCGCCATAACATTATTTATTATTCATTCAAAATATTTCCCCTATTCTGATTGGCGAAAAGCACACACATAATTTACCACAACCATTTACTGATGACCAAACTTGGAAGAATTTTGTGTTTAACGAGGAAATGACGTCAAAAATGCAGCGTTCTCGCAGGTTACTGAACCGTTAACCGAGAAGACCTGGGGACGAGGTTAAGTTGTTTTGGTTGTGAAAACAAAAAATGGCGCGCATTGCACTCGTTTCAAGAGTAAGAACTAGGCGACATTATAGCTAAAAACATGGCAAGAACAGCAAGAACAAAACTCAAAGGGCGACATCTTCAATTTGGAGAATATTTGCGGAGCTGAACAACCCTAAATGTGCACTATCGAAGATGAACTTAACATCAGTGGATCGATGGAGGTAAGCATGTTTTAGCCATGTTTTTCAACTAGGAATTATTTTGAATGAATAATAAAACAATTATTGAATTCGGCTTTCGCATCTTATAACGAATTATGGAGATCTCGAAGGGTGTTATCTGCTCGGCCGACGGCCTTGACGGATAACACCCTCCTCGATCTCCATAATTCTTCATAAGATACTCGGCCTCATTCATTAATTGTTAAATAACGAACCACGTGCAATTCACATGTTTATTCATTTATTTAGATTAGCCAATTTTGGCGGAGTCACTTCAACCATAGTTAGTGACTAACTATGTTTGAACAGCATGACCCCAGTTACTGCGAGCCCCTAACAGCTCCCTACCCTCACGACAGACTCCACCTCCCCTCGGGGAAAAATCCGATTTTTCCTGAGCGGAGGGGGTTCTGTACAAAGGCTATATGAGAGATCGATTACACCACCGGTGGGGCCTACATTTTCTACTCTTTTCAAGTAAAAGTGGGTTCTTTTACGTTGTCCCTTCCAATTGATAAGAAAGGATGAAGAAGACAAGGCTAACAGTTTAGTGTCACCGCTCAATGACGCGATCGTCTGGGACATCTAAGACAAGATCTTAAATGCTTCATCGTGTGCTATTGCGGCTTGGATGCACTTGGGAGGATTACTAAGCTCATAAGAACTCGAAGTATCAGTTTGTTGACGTCACCAGCGTGCTCAACTGGAATATGAAACACACAGACGCTATCGAATAACAATTTGATCATTTAGGCGATTTCAGCTATGTTATAATTTTAAAATTTTATGGTAACTACTTTCAAAAATTCTTACAAGTCAGCTCTAGCCTTGTGGACTCCCGCAATAACAGACAACCCGATAATACGGACAGCAACTAAATCCCATGCAAAAATAAATTACAGATGTCTGAGTAAAATAAACTCCCGTTATTACGGACTCTCACTAATAAAGTCGACCGTGACTAACCAGAGTTCACTACAGCGTCCGATATAAAGGGAGTTGATTGTTCTTGAAACCGATCTACACTACACATTTGAAATTCAAAGTAAGTCCTTGGTTAAAGAGTGTTAACCGACGTTTCGGCAACGCTGCCTTCTTCAGGGTTCAAAAGGAATTTACACCATTAAAATGTTGTATGCGTATACGAGGGGTTTTGCCTTAGTGTTTTCTCCGATTTGAGATTGGACTTGAGTTTTTCTGCACCTTGAACGGAAGCGACAACTGTTGTATAATTTGTTTCGATAGCTTTTTGCGCAAAACTCAGTTCAAACTTAGGACGTTGCTGCATCGCGTTTGGTTTAAGTAACAATCTACGAAGGTTTTCGTTACCCTCTCTGGCACACAAGTGCAAGGATGTATATCCATATATATCTGGAATATTTACATCCGCGTTGTGTTCAAGTAATAATCTACAGATGTTTTTTCGTTACCCCTAAGGTACACCAGTGCAAGGGTGTAAATCCACGATTATCTTGAATATTTACATCCACGTTGTGTTCAAGTAACAATCTACAGAGGTTTTCGTTACCCTTTCTAGTACTCCAGTGCAAGGGTGTATATCCACGATTATCTTGAATATTTACATCCACGTTGTGTTCAAGTGACAATCTACAGAGGTTTTCGTTACCCATTCTAGCACTCAAGTGCAAGGGTGTAAATCCACGGTTATCTTGAATATTTTCATCCGCGTTGTGTTCAAGTAACAATCTACAGAGGTTTTCGTTACCCTTTGGCTTTCTAGTAGTCCAGTGCATGGGTGTATATCCATCATTATCTTGAATATTTACATCCGCGTTGTGTTCAAGCAACAATCTACAGAGGTTTTCGTTACCCTCTCTGGCACACAAGTGCAATGGTATATATCCATCATTATCTTGTATATTTCCATCCGCGTTATGTTCAAGTAACAATCTACAGAGGTTTTCGTTACCCTCTCTGGCACACCAGTTCAAGGGTGTATATCCCAAATCACCTTTCACATTTACATCTGCGTTATGTTCAAGTAACAATCTGACGAGGTTTTCGTCATTTCTTCGTACTGATACGAACAGTGGTGTATTGTTATCATTATCTTAAATAAATATTGAAATAAATATTGTTTTGAAATGTCTACATGATACAGAACAGCTGACAGAATTGCTTTACTCTTTTCGATCGTAATTTATGTTTAATGTTCAAACTATCAACTGCATTCAGTACTCTGAACTGGTTGTAATTCAAACTCGGTTGCAATCACGCAATGAAATAAATACACACATGGAACACTTAGTTCAAAAACACAACAATTTCCTTTAATTGAAAAGAAGCTATTTGGCCCTAATGAAGAAAAAAGAAAACAGGGAAACAAGAAAGAAAAGCTAACAGAATCATTACACTTGATGGTGAAGATAGCAAGAAGGTCGAATGACAACATGACATTGGTCTCAGAAACTAAATGCATTGCCAAAATCACTGCGGAAACCACAAAGCGGCTCTAAATGAAAACCTACTGACTCTCTGCAATGATTCTTCATTCGCAGCTCAATTTAGTGATTCATTTTTGAAGACAAAGGCAATTTTGCTGTTTACGATAAAGATTATCGAAATGTTTGAACTCCATGCAAGCAATGGCATCGATGCAATCTGCTGAATGTCAAGAGACAATCCGCAAAAATTTCCCATGATGTACATAATTATGCAAATATTTAGACAATCAACCAATCAAAATCACTACCCGGCTTTTGGATAGTAGTGATGTCACTGGATGGCATTAACGGCTGGTCAGCTCAGATGTTGCTGAGAGGAGAAAACCACTCAAAGCAATCGGATGAAATTTGGGCTATCAGTAGATATGTTTTAAGGAAACCAAAGGGCTTTCAAAAGGTGGACCTATTGCTGTTTTTCACCATTCTCCAGCGTTGCCTTTGCCACTTAGCATTACACGATCCTATATTCTGTTAAATATTATTGAGAGCTTCGCTTTTTGCTCTGGCTAAATCTATATATTATACTATACAAGGTGTAACCACCTCAAACACACACCTCTCTTTCCATGTGTGATTTTCCATTATTGTTTACTGCAGGGGCCAGTTTTTCAAAGGGTGGATAACGCTATATCCATCCAGACAAAACATTATCCAATGGATAGTGCAATTAGATTTCCTAATAAATACTTATCCACTCAATCTGGTGAATAGTGTAGTAATCCATCTTTTGAACAACCTGAAGTTGTTGTGCAGTACATGAGTTACAATGGTGGTAGGCAAGCGTGTACATGTTGACAAATAATAATTATTAAGAGTAATAATTGTCTCCTCTAAATTAATTTCTCTTTTACAAAAAAGAACACATCAGCTGGGTTAAAATATTTTTTTTTTCAAAGAACATACTGAACCAGGGTCAACTGACCCCCCCCACAGTTTGCCCCTCCCAAAAGACTGTCACCTCCAGGCCCCAGCCTCCTGACGCCCCCAACCCCCACCATATTCCTTAAGAAATGAAAGAGAAATAAAGAAACAAACGAAAATTTTGGAGCTGAAAAAGTTAATGAAAGAATCCACCAACCAAGAAAGAAATGTTTGATTATCCAAACTCATGGCATTAGACATTACATGAAATAACTTTTCAACAGGGGCAATTAACTCGCAAGATAAACCTTACCTTCAACAGTAGGTGAATCAGTTCAATCTGGAGGAAGGGGGGGAAGCGAGTCAGTTGGAAAGAGACCAGTATGTTGTCGCATTTTGCAAACTTCTATGTTTTTTATCGAAATGATCTGGCCCTCACTGAATGCACCTGGATAATAACAAAGCTGTTTTTTTCTTTTTCTAAAATGTTAGCTCACTAGTAGAGGCCTTTAATCAAAGCCGGAAGTGCATGGAGTCGATCGTCATGAACATTAACGTTTACACTAATTCATCTCGGTTACTGCTGGTTAATGTTATATATACAGTTACTACAAAGAACAGTTTACAAATATTTTAAGTGGAAATAATTTTTCTTGGACTTCTTTACAAGTTAACGCAGCATCAAACCTATACGCTAGCTATTTGTGAAAACAGAAGGCCAAGGACCTGATCTCAATTACAGATCAACAAAATTTCCTGCAGATTTATCAGTGAGAGGATACCTTAAGGAACAAAAAGGCGATTCTTACCCTGCTACGGCTCCAAGATCAGCTGTTCGTATCTTTCTTTCGATGTTCTTCCAGTAATATCTCCTTTAATTTGACGCATAGAATCAACACCGCTCGAATCAGAACAAAACCGCCATCATCCCATGCACCAGCCTCAGGAATCGCCTCTATGTATGCCAAATGAAATGCCCCGAAAGATGTCCAGAGGAGCAGATGCGGTTTCAAGACATGCACCCTTACAGATTCTGTCTGAAAAATTCACCTAAAGTTCAATAAATCCGTCTTCAGGGCTCCTGGTCTAAAAATGCTCCAGCGATTGAAAATATATATTCCCATTTGTGTTTGATATCACCAATATTTGTTTTCTTAAGATTCGTCTTTCCCGCTTGCTGATTCAGCCATTAACAAGCAGTACTGAGTTATGTGCTGTAAAACTTGCTGCGATGCGGTGCGCGTGCGTTTAATAGTCACACGAAACGCATAGGAAAAAAATAAAATTTTTCTACATTAATTCAATAAGTTTGCAGTTGTGCTTATGTTTTAAACAAGGAGTACATCGAGCTTCGTCGGAATCTAAAAACCAAACTCTTGTAATACGCATCACACTTGCAAAATTCTCCTCTTTCATTTCCTGGAAAAAGTGAATGTAACCCCATTCAAGTTCCGTTGCATTCTGACGTGTCTCGGGATCCTCATTGTATCCTAAAATTTCTACAAGAATTGAAAAAAAAAAAAAAAATCTTCCTTTATGATGAGTCTAGCCTGCCGGGCTAGCCTGACGATAATAGCATTATATCAGTTGAGACAAATATATTACAAATATACCTCCTATTAAAAAAAAACTGTCGCAATGGAGTGTTTAAGTACACTGCTTCGTTTTTCTTCTTTGTTATTATAGTTTCTATAAGCTTTATGTATACTGCAAACGGGAAACGTCAGATTCAAGTTGAGAATTTCACAAAATAGAAAATGAGAAAAATAAAAAGAACTCAAAACGATTATTATGGATAAAAAATTGAGAGAAACTACGTATTTATGTGTTAAAATAATGAACAGTAAACGACAAATGTACTGCAAAGGGGAAACTTGGTCACCTGGTACAAATTTTGTCACGTGATGCTTAACCTCTCTAATAGACCTCCTTAGCTTGTATGTTTTGTTTTCCCAATACAGGTTATGTGATAATACTCTAGAGAACTGTTTCTTTCAAATTTCGTCCTGTTCACGTGCATATGTATGTAGGCACAAAAATACAAAGTGTCAAGTTCCCCTGGGACCTCTATTGGGAAAACAAACCATACAAGCTAAAGAGGTCTATACCTCGCAATCCAGTGCAACAAGAAAACCTGGGGGGTTACTCAACAAATGTTTATTCGAGGACGCTCCACCCCGAGGTCCAACCTCTTACCCTTTATATACCATTTTTCATGAAAAAGGTACCCCTTCCTGTGAGGCCTGTGGAGAGACATGAAACTTTCCCGGGTAAATGTAAATTTACTCTGTGTAGGAAATATCGCGTTCGGTTGCTTTTCCTCGACTTCAAAAGCAGTATTTTACATAAAACATAATATAAGGAATGTTCAAGATGATAAAGAGAGGCTAGAAACGAAAAGAAACTGCATTAAACCATCGGAATTTACCTCTGAAAACCAGCTCTTCCCCGTCGTTCTACCCACTTCGAGTTTTTGGTGAGAACTCGCCGTAGTGCAACTTGACAGGACGACTTGAAAACGTGGAGATGCGCAGAACGGATGTGCAGTACGCAAAATCGCTGATCTCTTTCTAGAACTCGTACTCGTTGTGGATGCTAACATCCTCTAATAAACAAACGCGACCGCGATTACTCGTATCGGCAAATTTTATCACTTGTTTGCCCCCTGAAATACCACGTGACATAGCTTTTATCCCATCGATCTTAGAGCGCGTGCAAAGATGGCGGGTATCGTGAATAAGGTCAGATAAGGTCTATTGTTCTTGTTATACCACACACAACCCATCATATCTTTGCTCTGATAAACTGGGCTCCAAACGTTAGTTTTTAAATCTCTTTACGGTCACATTGAATTTCTCAACTCAGTTAATGAAAGCAAATCCCCACCACCGACGCAGCACCAAAGTTGAATTTGAATTTGAATCTAATTACTTTATTCATCTTTTCTAAATATCCTTGGAAGTCCCTTTAGTGGCAAAAAATGATAAAAGTGTGGATACTCGACTTCGCCTGCCACGGACGAAGACTTCCAGCTTTGAACTTCAGCTACAGCTGCAACGTGGGACGAGGGGAGAGGAGGGTTGCTGCTTCACTGTTGACAGTTACCAATCGCTGCTGATTTTGCTGAACTTGCTGAAAGCCTACAAAAAAGTTCTTAGTGTTTAAAAATAAAAACGGCTTTGTTATCGTTGCGGTTAACTTATCATTTCGTGCCTCGTTTCTCTGTGTCAATATATTTAGTAGAGGTGTCAACTTAACTGCAAATAAAATCCCCGCAAATAAAACTTTTTGGAAAACGCGCTTAGATGTCTGACTACGTGGAGGTAGAAGTCGTCGGTGGTTTACGAATTTGCTTTCCTCTTGGAACACTTTGAAAAGTGGTCATGGCTGAAACTCGATAGCTTGTTACAATCAAATAGCCCCCCGGTTATTAAAGTGCTACCAAACCCAGAACGAATCTAGTAAAAATAGCAATAATTTTTAGTTCGATGTCTAATTACCGGGCAAGATGATTTTGACGGCATCAAAATGATCTTATCGGTATTTTTTCTAACATGAAGTTCATAAAATAGTGTCGCCATAACATTATTTATTATTCATTCAAAATATTTCCCCTATTCTGATTGGCGAAAAGCACACACATAATTTACCACAACCATTTACTGATGACCAAACTTGGAAGAATTTTGTGTTTAACGAGGAAATGACGTCAAAAATGCAGCGTTCTCGCAGGTTACTGAACCGTTAACCGAGAAGACCTGGGGACGAGGTTAAGTTGTTTTGGTTGTGAAAACAAAAAATGGCGCGCATTGCACTCGTTTCAAGAGTAAGAACTAGGCGACATTATAGCTAAAAACATGGCAAGAACAGCAAGAACAAAACTCAAAGGGCGACATCTTCAATTTGGAGAATATTTGCGGAGCTGAACAACCCTAAATGTGCACTATCGAAGATGAACTTAACATCAGTGGATCGATGGAGGTAAGCATGTTTTAGCCATGTTTTTCAACTAGGAATTATTTTGAATGAATAATAAAACAATTATTGAATTCGGCTTTCGCATCTTATAACGAATTATGGAGATCTCGAAGGGTGTTATCTGCTCGGCCGACGGCCTTGACGGATAACACCCTCCTCGATCTCCATAATTCTTCATAAGATACTCGGCCTCATTCATTAATTGTTAAATAACGAACCACGTGCAATTCACATGTTTATTCATTTATTTAGATTAGCCAATTTTGGCGGAGTCACTTCAACCATAGTTAGTGACTAACTATGTTTGAACAGCATGACCCCAGTTACTGCGAGCCCCTAACAGCTCCCTACCCTCACGACAGACTCCACCTCCCCTCGGGGAAAAATCCGATTTTTCCTGAGCGGAGGGGGTTCTGTACACAGGCTATATGAGAGATCGATTACACCACCGGTGGGGCCTACATTTTCTACTCTTTTCAAGTAAAAGTGGGTTCTTTTACGTTGTCCCTTCCAATTGATAAGAAAGGATGAAGAAGACAAGGCTAACAGTTTAGTGTCACCGCTCAATGACGCGATCGTCTGGGACATCTAAGACAAGATCTTAAATGCTTCATCGTGTGCTATTGCGGCTTGGATGCACTTGGGAGGATTACTAAGCTCATAAGAACTCGAAGTATCAGTTTGTTGACGTCACCAGCGTGCTCAACTGGAATATGAAACACACAGACGCTATCGAATAACAATTTGATCATTTAGGCGAATATTTCAGCTATGTTATAATTTTAAAATTTTATGGTAACTACTTTCAAAAATTCTTACAAGTCAGCTCTAGCCTTGTGGACTCCCGCAATAACAGACAACCCGATAATACGGACAGCAACTAAATCCCATGCAAAAATAAATTACAGATGTCTGAGTAAAATAAACTCCCGTTATTACGGACTCTCACTAATAAAGTCGACCGTGACTAACCAGAGTTCACTACAGCGTCCGATATAAAGGGAGTTGATTGTTCTTGAAACCGATCTACACTACACATTTGAAATTCAAAGTAAGTCCTTGGTTAAAGAGTGTTAACCGACGTTTCGGCAACGCTGCCTTCTTCAGGGTTCAAAAGGAATTTACACCATTAAAATGTTGTATGCGTATACGAGGGGTTTTGCCTTAGTGTTTTCTCCGATTTGAGATTGGACTTGAGTTTTTCTGCACCTTGAACGGAAGCGACAACTGTTGTATAATTTGTTTCGATAGCTTTTTTGCGCAAAACTCAGTTCAAACTTAGGACGTTGCTGCATCGCGTTTGGTTTAAGTAACAATCTACGAAGGTTTTCGTTACCCTCTCTGGCACACAAGTGCAAGGATGTATATCCATATATATCTGGAATATTTACATCCGCGTTGTGTTCAAGTAATAATCTACAGATGTTTTCGTTACCCCCTAAGGTACACCAGTGCAAGGGTGTAAATCCACGATTATCTTGAATATTTACATCCACGTTGTGTTCAAGTAACAATCTACAGAGGTTTTCGTTACCCTTTCTAGTACTCCAGTGCAAGGGTGTATATCCACGATTATCTTGAATATTTACATCCACGTTGTGTTCAAGTGACAATCTACAGAGGTTTTCGTTACCCATTCTAGCACTCAAGTGCAAGGGTGTAAATCCACGGTTATCTTGAATATTTTCATCCGCGTTGTGTTCAAGTAACAATCTACAGAGGTTTTCGTTACCCTTTGGCTTTCTAGTAGTCCAGTGCATGGGTGTATATCCATCATTATCTTGAATATTTACATCCGCGTTGTGTTCAAGCAACAATCTACAGAGGTTTTCGTTACCCTCTCTGGCACACAAGTGCAATGGTATATATCCATCATTATCTTGTATATTTCCATCCGCGTTATGTTCAAGTAACAATCTACAGAGGTTTTCGTTACCCTCTCTGGCACACCAGTTCAAGGGTGTATATCCCAAATCACCTTTCACATTTACATCTGCGTTATGTTCAAGTAACAATCTGACGAGGTTTTCGTCATTTCTTCGTACTGATACGAACAGTGGTGTATTGTTATCATTATCTTGAGTATTTACATCCACTTTCTTTGCAAGTAATAATTTGATGAGGGTTCGTGATTTTTTTTGATTGATAAGTGCAGTGGTGTGATCCCATTACTAATCTGTACATTTACGTCAGCTCCATGCCTTACAATTAAGCTTGCTGCCATGTAGTTGTTCCAGTCAGCTGCTAACATTAGTGGTGTTTCTCTCCGTTGGGCATTAACGTCGGCCCCAAGATCAATGAGGGTCTCAATGAACTGACTTGAGGATGAACGACTAGCCTGCAGCAAAGCTGTCCAATCATTGTCTGATCCTGAGTCATTAATGTCTACACCTTCATTTAATACAAGTTCAACTGCCTGTTCCGCATCATCATTGCATGTACCCCACTGCAGCTCAGTCAGTCTGCTGTGATCCTCAGCCAACTTTTGATAAATCCTTTCGATATCAACATGAAATGGATCTGTTCTCTTCTTAAGTGACAAGAAGTCAACTGCCGTTTTTGCTATAAATTCTTTGGCGTTTTTTCCCGTTTTTGTAAGTTCCATCTCCTTAACAAAGTTGTTAAAAAGGCCACTAGCTTCTAAAACAATGTTGTATTTTTCCTCAAAGACAGCCGCCTGGAGCATATTAAATCCAGATTGTTCATCCACTTGCAAGAAAGCTTGTCTTGAGAGATTCTTTAGACTCACCTATAATGGAAATGATCACGTTTATGAGCAAAAATAATCAAGAGGGAATTCAGTTGGCTTTACTTTGTAACTATTCTTATTGCAGATAATACATTACCGGGTTTCCACTGCAAATATAAACATTTTACACAAATGTGATGGTGTTTGGTTACTATCGCTACAATATATGGCGTCATCAATGACAAAAGGGTAAGCCATTTAAAAGCAGAAAAGTGAGCTTTTCGCCCAATTTTGCTAATAATAATCAAATCCAGAAAATTTGTATGGAATAAGGGCGTTACAAATTTTAATTATTATTATTATTATAATTATTATTCTTAGAAAACTATCAACGCCAAAATTACTTCTGCAGTGTTATGTGTCGAGGGAAGAAGCCAACGAAGTGTGGGAAAAGTCCTACAACTAGCAACCGTTATTAGTTTGTAGTTTTGTAGCTCGCTAACTTCTCCTTATCTCTAATGCCGGACCTTCCTCTACCCTCCCAAACAATTTTGGCGTGTTTATTGTTCCCTGAGGTAACTTGCATTTGATCAGCGGGACAACATTGTTTAGTGGGTCGGGGAGGGAGGGATTGCTTTCTCCATTTTTACAAGGTTCCCCTTCTATTTTTTTTTTCTGACCAGGTCTGGATTACACTGAAAATTGAAAAGATCTGTTTCAGCTCCATAGTGTCAATTCAGGCCTGCAGGCTAAAGTTTGATTCAGCCCTTCCTAGAGCCATTTGAGCACAATTTAGGCCAAAAAAACTCAATCAGAAGGCTATTCCAGCCCACACTTGGGCCCATTTCAGCCCTTGAGACCAAATCAGCCCTAGCTAATTGGACTGTATTTTACTCTCCGAAACAGCCCCATATTTAAGGGCTAAAACAGATCTATCTGATGTACAGTGTAGATAATTATTAGATAAGCTTCGAAAATTGTACCTGAATGGAACGGTCATCTAGAAATTTCTAGTCGTCCTCAAGCAAAGAAAATTTTAGGCAATTGACACCATAAAATACTATAATACTCTTTGTTGGTCACTCCAAAGTTTCGCATAAGCATTGTTTTCAGTTTCTCTTGGGAGTCAAATAATGCTTATTCAAAATTTTGGAGTGACCAAGAAAGAGTATTATAGTATGTTATGGTATTTTCTGTGGTGGTCAATATTTGCTTCTCCGAACAAATAATTCACAGAAAACACTCGTTGGGTGCCCTTGCGGTAGGGGTACGGATTTACTTGAAAGTCTAATAGTTACGGTTGAGATGCACTTTCCAAACAATTGTGTTTGAAACTTAATTTAACGTAATGTTTGATAATGATGTGTGATACATCGAAACGTCGAGTAACGTGTTTAAGATTAATTTTCTTGTTAACTGCTTCAAGAAGCAACTGACTATTGAATAGTGTGGCCTTCTTCCCATCCATGTGGTTACAGCATATTCCCCATTGTGTCCATAACCATTTTGTTAAGAGCGCATGCGTATAAGACGAAACGCCAGAACCATAGACATTAATAACTAAGAAATAAAATATACGATGAAACCGGTATTAACCGGACACTACGCGACCTTTGCTGGTGTCCACTATTAATGGGTTTGGTTTAGAGTAAGCTCACAGTAGATTCACTGTACTGTGATCTTCGGATGGGCGTAACCGAGGGAATAAAAATAATGTTCGTGTAGAGAAGAAGAAATATAAGGTCTTCGCGATATAAGCTACTATTAAAGCTCATACGACAATCAATAGGTCCTATAGTAACGTTCCACATTAGCAACAAAGAATACAAAAAATGTAAGCGAATTTCTACTAAAAGACAAGGTTGACAAGAAGGTCATACAATCTGATATCTTACTGGTTGATGAAGACTTGGCCTGGCACCATTCTTCCGCAGCAACTGCACTATGGAGTGGTGGTTTTGACGTTCAGCTTTTTGCAGAGGTGTACGTTGAAACTAAAAATATCACAAGTAGGGTGATACGTATTACTAACCACTTGCTATTTACCAAGAAGAATATTCTAACTACTGGTACCGTGAATGACCCAATAAACGCCCCCTCTACGCTGTTAAATTTGTATTAGACGCCCTCTCTAAATAAAAGCCCCCTGTCTAATAGACGCCCCCTATAAGAATGACTCCAAATACTAGGAATTAGCAAGAAGGTGCAAAATCATTCAAATTATTCAGTTTCTTTCTTGATTAACGAGGTTTTGCCTATTTCGTCTTGTTCAATGTCAAGTTAGAAGTAAGGATAGCCTAAGCATGGCAACACAATAACCCTGAGCTCTGACATCGATGTTGGCCGGATTTAAAAGAGCGATATGGATCTCTAGACGGCCTAGGATCATCAATTGATAGATATCAACAAGTGCGATTTGAAAGAGAGATATATAATCGCCAGACGGCCCAATCGTATCAATTCATTGATGCAGTGGATATTGAATTCCTTTTTAACTCTTGATTTTTTCGCCGAAATAACATTAGTTTTGTTGAGCTTGTTAGAGTTATGAGAATAACGGCTCTCTATTATAAACGCCTCCTATCTATTAAACGCCCCCGCTTGGACCCCTAAAATTAAAAAGACGCCCCGGACGTTTATTGAGCCAATTACGGTATGTCTACATAGGGTAGTCGCCAACACAAGGAAACCTGTATTAAGGTGGCTGGAACCAGTCTTTTTGCAGCTATACCTTCCATCTTTGAGTCTCTCGTACTTAAATTGATCCTTATTGTAAAACCATTTTATTATTCATTCCAAATATTTCCCCAATTCTGATTGGCTAAAAGCACACGCATAATTCACCATAACAAGTTACTGATGACCAAATTTGGAAAATTTTCAAAAATGAAAAAAAAAAATTTCAAGAATTTTCAAAAATGCAGCCTGTTACAGGTCAAGGCACCGTTACCGAGAAGACCTGGGGACGAGGTTGAGCTGGTTTGGTTGTGACAAAAAAAATGGCGGACATTTCACTCCTTTCAAGAGTAAGAACTACAGCTGGAACTAGGCGAAATAATAGCTAAAAACATGGCACAAACAGTAAGAAGACAACTCGGAGGGCGACATCTGCTATTTGGAGAATATTTGCGAAGCTGGACAAATCTAAACGTACACTATCGAAGATTAACTTAACATCGATGCAGGTAAGCATGTTTTAGCTATGTTTTTAAACTAGGAATTATTTTGAATGAATAATAAAGCAATTACTGCATTCGGCTTTCATAGGATATGACGAATTAAGCAGATCTCGGAGGCTGTTATCCACCTCGGCCGTCGGCCTCGGTAGATAACACCCTCCTCGATCTGCTTAATTCTTCATATCCTACTCAGCCTCGTTCATTAATTGCTAAATAACATTAGCCTGGGACCAGGCTCCGTAGTGGAGGGAAAAAGCAAAAAACGGGATGAAACAGCAAGAAAATCGGCGAGCGAAGCGAGCTGAGTGGTGGACTGGGGAGGAGGGGAAGGCGACGGAGCTCCGTCGTCCACATCCCTCCCCAGACTTTCTCCGTCGCTGTACTGGCCTATTTTTTTCGCTTCCCTCCTCTCACCGCCACTTCGGAGCCTGGTCTCCCAGGCTATTATAACATATGTATGAGAAATAAACTGTTACGACATTATTTTCGGGAGATGGGAATAAATATCAAGTGACAATGACATCACAATAGTTTTAGCTGCAAATCGGATTTCAGCCCTTACCACCACTTTTCTTAGAAAACGGCTAGTCTTCTCGGATAAGGCAATAAATTGGAAGCTTCGTCTCACATATACTAAATTCTATACGACGTTAAAAGACTCAGAGTGAGGGAAGTAGTCGCCGGTGTGGTGGTCTATCTCTAATTCACAGTCACATTAGGGGGTATTCATAGCTAATTGCTCCTATTAAATACTTGCAAACTACTGCACCAAAAACAGTCTGGCAAAAGTACCACGACCATTGAAGGAAGTATATAAAAAGATATTCACAAAAATAAAGGTCCCGTGGTGGTCCGCTAATCGTAGTAAATTACGTTGACTGTAGACGTTCATGTTTTCACGGCAATATATTGTTTGATTTATAAAACATTTATTAACTCACCCTGTCTTCAGCGTTGAAGTTCGCACCATGTTTCAACAAAAGTTTAACAACTGACTCCTGGCCATACCAACAGGCAAGATGAAGAGGGGTCAGAAAAAAACTACCAAAAAAAGAAAAAACAACGCAGTTAGATCATTTTGAAAGAAGCCAGCTAGTCCCGCTTATAACAATGGTCTTGAAATAGTGGACTAACTTTTACGACCAAGCTAAGAATAAAGCCAAAGCGTCTTTTCTTTGTCCTCTTTAGTTTATCTGAAGCAATCCAAGAGGAACACTCTAACTGAAACCAAATGCAATTTTGCAGGTCACTTTCTAGCAGAAGACCAATTCTTTTATTAAATTCAGAGACCTGATTCTTTTGCATGAGGAAAACACCGTCCAGAACATCCTCAGGTTACTATCGTGAAAAAGTAAACAACAACAACAAACAAACAAACAAACAAAAATTCGACCACTAAATAAATAAAACCATTTTTATTCTCTGCAGTGCTTAGCCTCAGACTTAAACATTTCATGTTGGGAACGTAATTGGTTCTAGCAACATTTCTCCCATAACTTCACAGTTTACGATGATCTGAGTGATTGTCGTCCTAGATAGCACTGTTGGTAATAATATTGCGACAACCTTTAAGGAAGTCTTCTTCCCACGTGAAAGCAATCAGAAGAGTTTTTTGACTTTGATGACGACTACCACAGAGAACGTCGGAAAGTCCCGTGTTGTCAACAACAGTCCTATTCAAGTACTATTTGACGGAGTCGGAGTCGAAATCATAAAAGTGGAGTCGCAACAGCGACGGAATCGGAGTCGGAAGAATCAGAAAGTTTCCATTTTCTTGCAATTCCGTTTCTGACTCTGTCGCTCACGATCAAGTGAAAACCAGACTGTCGGAGTAGGAAGTAGAAGAGGAACGATAAACCAATCACAATGCACGTTCTCACGCTTTGTGATTGGCTTTGTTCTTCCACTTCTGTTTGAGACTCCTACGACTTAGTTTTCACTTGATCGTAAGCGACGGAGTCGTAAACGGAATCAAAACGCTGATTACACTAGATCGTCAAGTTCTACGCTTCTGATTAGGACTCCGTCGCTAATAAAAACCACCCTTTAAGGAAACACTCGCGCAAGATCTCATTTCATTATCTCATTCTTTAACCAAACTTTTGGGTAAAAATCCATTTACAACATCGTGAGCTATAATATAACGCTCTGGTGTTACATACATAGTAAATAAAACTAAATCTGTGTATCCTGAAACAATCGGCAAGTACGGGTTTAAAAAAGAATTGTGAATTTTCCCGCCATGTTATCCGTCTTAATGATGGTGTCTGCCATCACCGACCAATCAGGATGAATTCGTTCACAAACGCAAGGTATGCAATAAGACTTTTATACAAAATCTTGCTTCTTATACCCTGCCAGCTCGAAAGCTGGCACAAAACCTCAACACAAGCACCTAATTGTAGTCTACAAACCTGATCTCTTAGATCCACATCTTCTCCACTTTCAAGAAGCGTTTTGACCGTTTTGTATTGTCCACTGACAGCAGCCTTGTGTAGAGGGTCTCTCGACGCCTAGTTTAAAAAATATCCTTCGATGTAAATGTAAAGAGATTACAAAATCCTGTAGATAAAAGCCAAACTCATCAGTCTACAAACTTTGCACTCTGTTATAAAACGTTATCCAGCATTTGATTTTAATCCCTCTTCGCTCCCATATTAAACTTTACTAATTATAGCTGTATAAATACTGCAGATAATAACTCAGAACTGAGCAAATGTCCTCCAGGGCGCACTGTAAAAGCGCTCGCAATTGTGTACAATTAACGATGTTGCAACTCATAATAAGGCTACGCTCTGCTGAGTTTGATTTTGGTGCAACTCGTTAACAACATGGCACTTAATTTCTTGCACCAACTGACGTTTTTCATTCTTTTTTTGCTTTGTTTGAATACACAACGAGCGCACACCTACACTGTGTATCTTAACGATCTTCCTGCTGAACTTACTTTAGCCTTCTCAGCTCTGGCCATAGGTGACAGAGCCTGCTTCTTGTCCTAGGATAATAATAAATAAATAAATGGATAAATAGATAAACAAATAAATAAATAAAAATTAATTTATTTTGCCACTACTGGTATTTGTTTGGTATAAAGCTTCCATCCAATTTAGAGCTAACGAGCAACTCTGCCTATTCACCATTTTGTTTCAAGTACCATCTAACACGGCACCTCTTCAGGTTACTATTATGAAATACAAGGTCCAAAACCAAAAAATTCCTTGATAAAAATTGGCTGCCTTGTTACATTCCTGCTTGATTATATCGCCAGTTTCACCACTCCCCAAAGAAAATATACTTGTATTCTCTAACGCTACGCTCAGCCGAATAGAAAACAAGAGACAAAACAACAAAAGGATGAATACAGTCAACTCTCTCTTAACGGACACATCTATAAGACGGACACCTCTGTAAAACGGACACCTAGAGTTGGTCCCTGCCTTTCTTCGCTCCCTCTATTAAGACGGACATCTCTCTAAGACGGACAGCTAGTGCCGGTCCCAAAGGTGTCCGTCTTAGAGAGAGTTGACTGTATAGGCCATTATAGGGAGTCACCCCCGGGGGTTATAAGTATGAATTGACAAAACAACACAGTGATGAATGGAGGGAACCGCCAGCAATCTAGTTTGTTACACCAGTAGGACTAGAGTAACAAAAAAATCACCAAAATATAAGGGATATATGCAAAAAATAGGATACAAAGCACTACGAAAAGCCAGATTTAAGACACATCATAAGCGCTAACAAGATATGCTGAGCAAAAAAAATAACAAAGTAAACGGAGTCAGATCATTTTAGAAAAGGGATGCAAACGAAATAGTACAAATTAAACGTAGGTATACTTATAAACCTCATACGTAAGAAACCGAAAAAAGCAGCCACGAGAAAACTGGTAGGCGTCAAGTGGTGCGGAATTCACAAGGAGTGGCTTATAAACGGTCTAATGATCAAAATGGGAAAAAATGCACCTTATTTGAGTGTCAGTGGATTTAGCACGAAAGTACCAATTGGGGACACTATTTTTATGTCTCCTACTGGAGACGGGACCGCCATTTTACATGGTCATCCGAGGTCCAGCAAGAGAGAGGTCCAGGGAAAAGGCAGTACCTTCATTTCTCAGACATTTTAAGACCCTGAGTGTTGGTCCGGTCCCGGGATTTAAACCCGTGACCTCCCGCTCTGCAGTCAGGCACTGGAATTTGTTTGGTACAAAGCTTCCACCCAACATCAAGCTAACAAGCCGCTATGGGAGCGTACACTTCGTCGTCGTGGTTGTGGATTAATCGTGAATGCGGAGGATCAGTAAGAAATTAGATTTTTCAGGATACCCTTCCTTACAAGTACCCTTACTTTTCTCCTTTTGTGTAACAGACGTCTTTTAAAACTCTACACCTTCTCCGACAACGTAACTAGCTAATATCAGTACACTCCCTTAAAAAAACTTGCTGAAAATGCACAATCTGGATTTAGAAAAAAAAAAACGGCAGTACAGCCTGTTATCCTTGCTTCGGGCCGTAGTGCAGAACAGAAACTTTGATCTATCGGCAAGGAATTTAACCGGCAAACCAATAAATTTGGATTTTCCATGGTGTAAAACGATTTCCAAGCAAGAAAAAAAGAAAACGAAAAAGCGGCCACGAGTAGACTGGTCGGTGTCAAGTGCTGTGAAATTTACAGGAGTGGGTTGTAAAGAGTCTAATGATCCTCATGGGAACTGAACTAAACAACGTAATCAACAACTAAAAAAATACATTTGAGCTTACTTCACTCCACCTTGTATCCTCTTCCTGATCTGAATCAACTGTTTGAGACGAAGTTTCGGAGATACTTGCTACTCCTGGTAATCAAAACAGTAGCGTCACCAGCTACAAGATACCAATTATAATGGCCTGTAAAACTTGTTTTAAGCGGGCACCCTCGGGGAAAGCTTTAGTGGTTGGTTAATGCATGATGTCCGCCTTACAAATAGTACTTCCAATAGAGAGGAGAAGTCGTTACGTCACATTGCCATGGTAGCAAATTTTCTGGATGACAACACGTCGAAAACGTCATTTTAATTTGTCAAATGTTGGCGAAATTTTCTGGGGTTCAATTTGAAAGTTAAGAACAAGAAAAAGAAAAAGAAATTTTTGTGTTGTGTTCACCTACTCCATAAAGCGGGCGCGTGAAATTAGGAAGTTTCGTGCCGCAGTCGTGAAACGACGGCTAAGAAATCTATTCAAAGTAGACAGACTGCAAATCATCTTAGTCGCTAAAAAATATATATCTACGCGTCGCAACTGTTCATCAGTAGGATGCCTAAAATGCGTGCAATTCCACAATTGGTTTCGGCTCCATTAAATCCTATACCAATTGCAGAACATTTTAGGAGGAGCCACCCACCATGTGAGACAGCGTGGCATGAGGCACGTGCAGAGTTGTTGTTCTGCTGTTGCTTGTTCGCCGTTGTTATTGCCTTCGCTGTCGGTTAAACTCCCTAATAAGTGTGATCCACAAATTCTGTTATTATGGTAACGTGACGTCACACTTCTCCTCTCTTTTAGCATAAGGAATAAATCTGCTCAAATCCAATGTTGGCAGTTTTTGTTTATTTCATCAAAACGGCTCTTTCTAGTCATCCTTTACGTTTTACCTTAGGTTTCCGCTTTAATATCCGTAAAATTCTGTTCAACAAAATACGGAACAAATTACCACAATTTCTATTTCTCCCACAAAAACCCTTCCACTTTTTACATCCGGGGACTATAATGTAAAACTGTCAATCGATACGTGCGAACTTAACTTCCTGCACGATTTTGCACTCTTTAGTTAAATTGAAAATAAAAATAATACTGAACACTTTACATTGAAATTTCTACTTTCTGCTCAGTAGAACAGAAAGGAAAGGGCTGTAGATAGGAAGAAACTAGGCCATTTCGCCTGTGAGCCTCATAAGCTGTGCAGCTCAGTCAGATGAAACAGGAGCAAGAACATAAGTGACAAAGAAGAAGCATTCTACACAGCAATCCTAATCCATTTAACTTACATGTAGGAGGTGCATTCGTCAATAGCTAATGTTGTTGACCTCCCTAGTCTCCGAATGCCCCCTTTATCATTTCATGATTTGTATGCGTAATCACATGATTTCGAGTGCAATTTGGAATAAATAAGCACGACTAAATTTTTCAAAGACCAACAAAAGTGCACGAGCCCGTAGAGCGAGTGCACTTTGTGGTCTTTGAAAAATTTAGAAGTGCTTATTTATTCCAAATTGCACGAGAAAAATCATGTGATTACCTATACTACTGGTAATAATATACACGAAAAACATAACTACAACAACGAAGTTTGACAGCGCACGCGTTTTTAGTTCATTCAACTGATTGTCTGAAACAGACTACTACCTTTGTCAAATTCAAACTTTTTCAAGACCAACGCTTTCAAAATCATTCAGCTAAGAACTTGGAAATGTGCAAGGATTGATTTTATATGGTCACCAGCCTGTTATAGATAACTTGGTTTACAATAATCAGCAAAAGTAAGTGTTTTTAAATTCATCCTCGATTATGAGAGCTCGGCGTTTACAAGAAGCGTTTACAAGAAGTATACTGCCGTTTTGAAATCAGGAGAACGCTTCGCGCAGCCAAAGATGAGAGACACTTACTTAGGTTTCTTAACGACTGTTCATCATTGTCTGTTCCTGAGACCCCATCATAGCTGGATTCATGGAGAAATTTTTGAGATTTCAAACCCGAAAATGAAGGAGGCAATTTGTTCTCTTTCGACGCTGCCATCGATGGATGAGTGGAGCCACAGTTGTTGTGATGTCGGAAACTGCCAGTATTAATATAATATTTGCTTTTTCTCACCGCTGGGGTTTTCATTATTTCATTAGGCCTACTGCAAGAGTCATCGTACGTAGCTCTTCTTCGTCGGCTTCATCGTAGTCGTTAAGGACGTTTATACCTGTGTGGCCTGTGACGTTGGCGATATATCCTGAACTTACAATCTTTGCTTTCTTCAGCTTCCTGACTGTTGTTTTTCTTGCACAATGATTCGTAAACTTTTTTCTCACTTTCTTTAAGGCTAGTACTGACTACGGATACTTTCATTATGTTAGTTATGGCATCTTCGCGCATTGGTTTAGTTTGGACCAGATGTTTAAATTTTCAGTTTTGTTTGCTACTGAGGTAGAAAGAAACAGACCATCGCATGGATGTTTTAATAGACGTCTTCGCTCCACAAAAGACTCAAAGAGAGCAACCGGACACCTTTCTCCTCCATCAAATAACGTAGGTGACTTGAAATCCCTGTTGTTGTCATGGAAAACTTGTATCCTTGTTCATTTAAATGCCTGAAAAGTGTAGTGGTCATGGTTTGCGCGTGGTTGCAACCATTTTCGTTCTTTATTTTTTTAGTAGTCTGTTATAAGTAGCTTGTTTTTTAGTTTCTCTGGTTCATTTTCCTCGATTTTGCTGACAGTATTTTTCTCTTAGCAACGCATTTTGAATAAAATTTAGCCAGAAAGACGTACTTTTTACTGTGTTCGGGTTTTTGGAATATTTTTTAACTTTTCTATTGTTGTTTTGCGTACAAAATTAAATCCCGTCGTCGTCTGCTGAAAACCATGGCCATTTTCTTGAATTTTGTTGTTAAAACAGCTCTAATCTGATTGGTTCTTGGTGGTTTCTTTTGTGTTTTCAGCCAATCAGAAACCATTTGTAATTTGCACTCGTGTTACAAGTTTGCACTCGTGTTACAGAAGAACTGCACTCCTTTCTCAGCCAATCGGAATTGAGTAATTTTTTCGTGTATATTATTAAGGTGGTAAATGACATTTTGTGGACATTCTAGCCAAGATGTTAACATTTAACTGGATTATTGCACTCAGTTCTCTATTGAGCATGAGGGCCATGAGTAAAAAAGTTTTGACAAAAAATTTCTCCCACCAACTATCCATTAGATTTGCGTTAAATTCATTGATACCGAAATAGAGACATGAAAATTGCTCCAAGATACATATTAAGCCAAATTACATGCTCCCCCAAAAAGCTCTATAGAGACTGCCCAGCTCACCTGAGATTTCCATAAGAGCTTTCTTACAAATCAAGTAGTTTTCTTCTTCTATAGTTATCCTCAATCTGACATGGTCCAACCCGAGCTTTCTCTTCAGTTCATCAGTCACCAAGTAACTTTCAGCGATATCATTAAGGCAACCCGATTGATAGTCATTCCATAGTCTCTCAAGACTCTCTAGAGTTGGGCACTCCACTGTTATTATCAAAGACCCCTTTTGCACAGACTTCACAGACAATTTATGAACCTCCACAAGATGTTCAAAAAAGGCACTTAAACCTTCAGGTGTTGAAGGACTATGGTGGATCAAGTATTTGCTTGCGTGAAGTTCTAAAATGTCATCCAAGTTTTCTTGTTGCTCATCGCTTAGATCTGGAGCACTGATTATAAGTTTAAGAACTTTAACAATGGCGCCTAGAAATTAAGAAAGGAACTGTGAGACGGAAGACTTTAGATAACAATTCGCAACAGTATTGCAAATCGGCTAGATTGCATAAAACGCATTTATACCTGGATTTTTGAAAACCGGGTTAGCAAAAATATCAACTCATTCTACTACTTAGCATTTAAAACAATAAAACTCATTCAAAGGCCGATTAAAAGCCTTTATCTGACGCCGGGCAGTAAGTTAATGGTCCCTAGAAGCATTCCAACGACTCCAAATTTAAAATGACGCAAATTTTAGAACATTTATTCAGTAAACTGACTTCGCGAAGTTTCAAACCGGTGTCATTTCAGTCTAGAATTTTTTAAGTTGAGTGAACTGCAGCGAAAGAGTTAGTGCGTCTCAATGACGAGTTTGCTTTCGTCGGGGTTTTGCATGTTTGTCAGAAGTACGTTTCATCTCGGCTTTTTTAAAAAACATTACTTTTTTCTGAGAATCTACCTTTGAACACAACGATTTGAATGACGTATGTTTCCTTTTTTTCCCCATCCAGCGACTGAAATATTTGACAATTATTGAAAGAGCCTGAGTATGACATGAAGAATTATGCAGGTCGAGGCTGTTTTCCGCCGAGGCCGAACAATCTCCTCAGAGATCAGCATAAATCTTCACATTATACGAAAGCCAAATTTAATAATTGTTTTATTACTTCTTGATCAGAAATTTCTACATTAGCGATAGAAAGTCACGACGTTTCGACCTCTCCGAGGTCATCCTCACCTGAGAGTAAAAACTAAAAACTCAGCATTAATATTACAAACGATATAAGGGTAAGAATGCAATTAACGCTAAGATGCGATAAATACTTTATGTAAACAACGAGTGATAAAATATTTATAAAATTGAAAAGAAATAGTAATAAAGCTAATTAAAACCGATCTAAACAAATAATTTTGCGTGGATGGAATTTAGTATTGGTTTCAGTTCTTTGAAAATTGAATTGTAAATTGCTAAATTTGTTTACCCACAAATCACCTAGGAGTTCGGGGAGGGGGGCTCCCACATGAAAGGGGCGGGGATCTTCGTCGTCTCGCTTGGGGCTGTAAATTTCAGAGTTCGGTCCTTAGGGTGTTCTGGGCAAAACACCATTATATTCAGCCGTAAAGGTGTCTTTTAGGGTAGCACTCGAAGAAATGTTAAAAGATTATATAATTCAATTCGTTTTATTTACTCGATTCATGTAATCAAAGTTTAAAATGATCGCCTTTGGGGGTTGAAAAAGGCTAGACCACGCCCAGATTGGTCTCCTTTAGGGGTTTAATTCAAAATTTCCGACGAGCATCCCCGCCCCTTTCATATGGGAGAACCCCCGGGAAGACAATCAAGTTTTAAAATTTGACGCAAATTTAAAATAAAGTGGCTCGACTGGATTTTTTGGGGGGATACCTTCCAAGTTTGAGTATTAACTACGTCGCCATGAGTAAAGATATGGGAAAAAGATTACCGCAACTGTTTTACATAAAGATGAAAATTTCTTATAATCTGGGTTTTAATGCATTCGAAGTCGCCATGGCAACGTAACGACGCCATTACGTTTTTTAATTTATCTTTGTGTTTCTCTGTACCAGGAGTTTTTTTAAGAAATCGCTAACGGGAGTTTGTACCTGCCATAATAACCTCAATTATGGGAAAGTTTGAACAAATTCTTTGAGAGCGTTTTCGAAATATTCTGAAACGAAGTTTTGACCATCATAAAAACAGTGAAATAGCATGCTATCCACACAAGTAGCTGATTTTTTAAGAAAATGATAAGCTTTGGAAACGCGACTTCATCTCATAGTGGTTTGATTCCACTGAAAACTGCATACAAAAAAAAGAAGAATTGCTCTGGGCGATCTCGAGTAAGAAGAATTTTATTAACTTGAATTCAGCTGCTTTTGTCACAGTTTTTGAACGTAATTTGGTCCACGCCTACAAATTTCGCACTTTTCAAAAAACTGCTCGATAATTTTTTTTATAAATTTGACAATCCCGAGATCAATTGCCAATAAATATACCCTGCAAGGGTAAATAGGGTAAATAGTAAATAGGGCCTCAAATATGGCCAATTTTTCCATGAGATTTTGTGTTTACAAGGGAGCGTCCTCATTATTCACTGGCATTGTATTCAAGTTTCATATGCACGTGCACATTTAGCAAAAAGAGATAAATTTACATAAAAAAACTTTCGCTTACTTTAGGAAGAAATATCCGGAATATGCTAATAATTGGCTTATGCCACAGATAGCAGTGAGAGCCGAGACGGTGAACGTCACGGCTCATCGTGTAGGATGCAATGCTTAATTATCTTACTCGGGTTATAACATCACAGAAACTCTTACAAAGAGTTACTGTGATGTTATAATATATCATAAATTTGTTTACCCGGTTATAAACATATTCCGGAGATTTAACCGAGGGTCCTTTTTGATGCAAATTGTATCTTTTTGCTTAATGTACACGTGCATATGAAACTTGAAAACAATGCCAGTGAATAATGAGGACGCTCTCATAGAATTTGTTCAAACTTTGCTATAATTGAGGCAAATATGGCGGGTACAAACTCCCTTAAGCGATTTCTTAAAAACACTCCTGATACAGAGAAACACAAAGATAAATAAAAAACGTAATGGCGTCGTTACGTTGCCATGGCGACTCTGATTGCAATAAAACCCAGATCAAAAGAAATTTTAATCTTTATATAATACAGTTATGGTAATGTTTTTCCCATATCTTTACTCATGGCGACGTAGTTAATGCTCAAACTTGGAGGTATCCCCCGTCAAAAATCGAGCCACCTTCATTTGGGGACATATTGGCTGATCCCTCAGGCGGTTTCGGATTGCAGTTCCCTAGTGCTCTTCAATTCGCTGGTGAAGGTGTCGGCACGTGTGGCCGACATAACCTGTATCATACAGGTTACACTGAAAATGATACACATTGTTGATTAACAAGGGGTGACCTGTCTTCCCTCACTTTCATTTTAACCTTGATCTTTCGACTTGTGTAAACAGGGCTGATTGCATTTGGCGTGTTTTGTGCCATCACCTTTACTGGGCTGATATCGATTGTACATGTTAAGTCGTAATATTCAATTAAAGGTGGCTTTGTGCCTTTTGCTCTTAGCCATTTTACTCCACAATTCGTCTTTTTTCTCTTTTTTTTTTCAAAAATATCCGGATACGTGTGGACGTTGACACACTTTTTTTCCTTCCATTTTCTTTTTTAAAGTTATGACTTATTTATGATGAACATTTTGTTTGTATGTTTGTTTCCAGGCAAGTTCGCATGTTAAAATAAATTTTAATAATAAATTATCGTCATTCAAATTTTAGAATAAGTATATGAACCCTTTTCAACCCCATGGATTTGGTTCCCACCTCGCCACAGTTTCAAAAATATGTATGAAAAAATTGTCTTGTCGATGACACGGAAACAAAGAAACTTGAAACTTAAAAACTGCACAAATTCTCAAGTTTACGAACTTTCTGAACATTTCAACTTTATTTGTATATAGGTACACGGCGACGCCTTCCATGGGTTAACTCATATGCCCATGAGAAAAATGTAAACAATAACGTCTGCAAAAATTCGCAGATAGTCAGGGAGCAAACTAAGGCCTTGATAACCTAGTAATACCTGGTAGTATGAAAAGAAAGAAAATGTCATTGATAAAAGATGAATCTACATTGAGGAGACCAGAAATATCGCCAGAAAATTATTTTAGTCTTCGTCGTTTGATTGAGTATAAGCCGGTCCCCAGATTTGCAGTTTTTCGCGAGCCCAAGGTAACATCTGGTATTAAAATCTGAGTACACAAGTACAATGAGTGAAGGATTGCACTGCGACACCTTAAACGGCAGCAAGTCCTGTAGACAAAACCACCTTTAAGTGTTCTAACAATCACCCCCCCAAACACCCCCTAGATGTACTATTGGGCAATAGCAAGAAAAACAAATCATGTTTTTGCTTACCTGGATTACAAGAAGATTCTGACATTTTACGCTTACGGCTGTTTTGTGACTGAGACACTTTAACTGTGGATATTTCAGTTTGGTTTCCTGATGCAGCATCAACTTTCTTTTCACAGTTTCTACCAAGGGACGTTTCCGAAACAAGCTGCTTGTCGTCATAAGACTTTGTTCTTGAGTTCCATAACAGGCTCTGCGTAAACAAACTTTGGTTACAATAATAATTTCTTTAAATTCAAACTAGTAGATTCATATAATCAACAATCGCAAAAAAAGCTTTCGACTAAGAACAATGAACCCTACGCCAGCGTTGTTTCCTGGCTTCGAATACAGCTCTCATTTGCTACATTAAGAACTGTACACAGATGAGTCAGAGGTTCTAGATATCCATTCAAATCACGTGAGGTCTCAGAAGACTTCACTTTCGCTGAAGCTGGTCTACATCTGCACTCATAATTTTAGGCCTAGATTTTTGAAAGTTTTTTTTCTTAGTAATGCTTGATTTTCCTTTTCCTACTTTTAAATTATTTACGACTGTAAATAGTTTTCTATCGTGGACATATATTTAGTTTTCAATTTGTAAACAATACGAGATAATTTAAAATTGTAAATATTACTTACTGTTCTGATACTTAAATAAAGATTGGTTATTTTCACAATAATTTCTTTGAAACTTAAGACCCATTTCTCCCCGGGGTGGACATTTGTTATGCACGATATATCGGGTTGTGTTTTCCCGGAAAAGAAGCTCAGCTGCCGGTATTTAAGTCCTACCCCGTCCCTAACTTTTTCTCGCTCTCGCGCGCCCCCCGCGCATCTCCCGCTTGGTTAAAAGCAGACAGAAATGACTGCTACGCATGCTACATACGTAGTCCATAGACCATTCCGCTGAAAACAATATACCTAAAGAAATTCAAAACGTTACAGTTTTCCTGATATCAGGAATTCGTGGGCCTTTATGCAAGATTTAAAGACAAAACTTGAAAGGGATCGCATTTTTGTTTGTTTTGTTTTTCCATCATTTCCTGATAATGTACCATTGAAGAAAAGATAATCGATATTCCAACCATGAGCCAGGTTGATCATCCTGTCACCTAACTCCTTTGTCTGTTTAGCCCAGTCGTATTTCCTGGCATAGAAATCACGCAAGGTCACCGCTTCCTCAAGTCGACATTCCCTGTCCTTGGACCAAATATTCAGAATGGCTAAGGTTGCGTCTCCAAAACACCAAGACTCTACGTTGTTGCCTATGAGGCTGTAAGGCAAGTCAGTCACGGCTTTACTCTTTAAATACTCTAAGGGTGAGGTCAATTAAAGACATTACAATCATTATTACAACTAGAAACATATGAGCAAAAGGTCTGGTTCAGCCATTTCACACAGTTTTACTTCGATGGTGTGCCTTTCTTCAGACTTTGAAATTGACCTTTCAAATATCCCAAGTTCCTCTGGGTCTGTGTGTACCACTTGAACCCATTTGCACGTTTTACGGACTTTAATGACTTGTGGTTGTTTATCGAGTTTAACTCCATGACCTACGATAGCGTCGATTTGCAAATCTTTCGGCGGAAAGAAAAACCAATCCAGTTGTTCAAAGGCAGGCGGCAGAGGCATCGCCTGCACGATCTTTGCTTTGTGTTCAAGGGCTATCTTTCTATCCTCTTGACTACATTTTGGTAAAAAGAGAGTGATTTTCACTTCAGGGAACTTGGCTAACTGAATGGCTAATTCTATGTTTATGGTGGAAAGCCCCATTACTTGATCCCCATGCAGATGCCAAAATAGTGACTTTTACTTTGCGAGATCCATGCACTCAGTCATTCAGGACTTTTTAAGTCTTCGATTGATATTGTTAGTCTCATGTCGTCAGTAAGTAAGTTCCAGAGCTTTTCAGTTTCGCACTTGATGGACTCGAGTCCATAAGTGGTTGTCCTAGGTTCAGGTAAGCTTAGTACATTATTCCCTCTTAAAATATAATAATACTTGGAGCTGCGAAGAGAGAGCAGTTTCTTAAGACAATTAGGATACACAGAGACAAAATAAGCTTTTAAACATTACAATAAGCATTTTGTGATTTCTTCCACTGTACAAAGATGTTGTCTTAGCCTTCTTTAGCAACTCATCATAACTAGAATTTACATCATTAAATATAAATCTCAAAATGCGTTTAGTCAAAAGCTCTAGTTTATCTTTGGGTGAAGAAACGGACGATAAGTGCTCCAAAAATCATTTGAGTTTGCTGTTTCCGATTTCTTAAGAAAATACGACTTGACTGCCTTTCGTCTCAGCGAAGTACATTTATTCCTTTTTTCTTTGTAAAGGGCGTTATGAGTATCAGTGCGATCATGAGTGAACTTTTTCCACAGCTTGTTTCTATGCCGAGTGGCTTTGCGCCATTGTTCATTCATGAACGGTACTTGATTGCCTCTCACATGGAATTGCTTTAGAGGCGCGTGCCCACTTATAATATCTAAATACAGCGATTCAAATGCGAAGAATTTATCGTTTACACCATGGAAAAATTTCATTACATTGAAAGGAGCATTATGCAAATCTTGTAGGATAGCATCGCTGTCAAACTTTTAATCTTCTCTCGCAAACTTTTCAAGATCGAAATCTGGGTGCGAAGAGTCTTAAAATTCTGTATACGAGGGAGTGATCAGTGACTTAGACATCAACCACGCCCGATGATAGTATTCTTTCATTGTTGTTTGTAAGAATGAGATCGAGATTGTTGTTATTTTGTCTGTCCTTCCAGTTGGTAATGTGATTAGGTTCTTTAGGTTATAAATGTCCAATAAATCACACAAATCGCGTCCATCCATGGGAAGCTTGTTTGGTTCTATCATATCACAGTTGAAATCACCCAAGAAGATAGTGTCATTTGAAATTGTTGTTACATCTTCAAAAACAGCACTAGGTTCACGTTTCCACTGACTTTTGGGATGTTAGGAGGTCTGTAGATGCCAACGATAGCAAACCAAGATTTATTTATTTTGACTTTCAATAACATGGATTTAGTGCGAAAACTTGACATGTCTACATTGAAACGTGTAACGACACGAAAACAGATGTCATTCCTTATGAAGATCATTAGCCCACCACCATGAGCATTTCTATCAACACGATACATACGAAATCCTTCCACGTTAAACTGACTATTGCTAAAGGTAGCATCTATTTTCGTCTCTGTTATGAGGAGTATGTCAAACCATCCAGACATTAGCCAACTTCTAACTGCAAAGAATTTAAAGTCAGCAATATTTGCGTTAATGTGCCCAATCTTGGTATTAGCTCCATGTTTGTTTGCCATTGCATCAAAAGAAGACCAAATGTCCAACTGCGTATCGCGTTCTTCGTTTATATCAACCGATCTGCCACTTGTATCAAAATTGCTCACATCTGAGAACAGTGGCTGTTTTGGTTGATCCAAGCAGTCAAGACAGGTGCAGGTGTTGGTAGTAAATTGCGGGCACCCTTGCAAACGGACAGCTGATAAAACCCCGAGTTGTCCCCTTAGAGAGTCTGTTTACATCCGCCCCCTCCCATTAAACAAAATTGGGGAGACACACTAAAGTTTTTACCCTGGAAGATTCATTCACCATCACAATACCGTAATACTTACGTCACGGTATCAACATGACAGCTAATCAGAGGATTTCCCTGACAATCCGGGGAAACCAGAAGTTGATTAACGACGCAGAGGTCTCTCTCGCCGATTTTGCTTTAGACTAGGAGCAGTCTCCCTTGTTTTTAGTCCGTTCAGCGAAACTCGCGAGACACTAAAAATACCACGCGCAAGACTGAAGGAGCGAGACGGGCTCGACGCTCGAGCACTCCTCTCACGAATTTGAAGAACAATAGACTTGTTTGCGGGGAGAGGGCGGTTGTACATAGGCTAAGAGAGCTTCAAGCTGTTTCTTGGAATGGAAACAGTTATTTAGTTGTAGCGGGGCACATGCACTCTCCAAAAGACTACTTTCTTAAATGACTATAACTTTTTCTTGCCCTCCTTTGTATTTTCCCGGGAAAATAGAATTACCTTTATATATCACAAGACTCAGGAAGAAACAATTTGTCACAGTGAGGGTTTCCCAACGAAAACCCTTCAGCACAAGACTAGATAATCCTACTTTACTTTCTTGAAAAGCATGCAACTGGAAATGAAAGATCCAGAAAGTATCCATTCTCCTAACACTGAGGCCGTCATTGGAAATTACAGGTGGGATGGCGATTTAAAGACAAAATTTCAGGCCAAAGAAAATATGACGCTCATATCTAGGGTGAAAGAAAAAACAAAACCCCTCATTGCCTCTTTGAAGGAGCATGGATATTTTCTGAGACTTAATACAACAGATCTAGTCAAAATCAACTGAAAAAGCACAACTATTTGGTGGGAATAAATTGACAAGTGCAGAGAATATCCTCACAATACGATCAATAATCAGGATCTGTGTACCAGGGGATCCATTTCTGTTTGAAGCAAGAAAATCTGTTGCAATTGCTCCCTCAAAAGTGATGTACCTGTGCCACAGCAACCCCATAGTTTTGAACACTTGCTATTCCTCTGGTTTTTTGTCAACTGGATGCAAATGTCACTTCCCTTTTGTAAAGGCTGGAATTGCCAGCTTAGCCTGCTAAAAGCCAACACTCTCTGCGGAAACCGGTCGTTTTGATACGAAATCAAGCATTGAAATTGCACAAAAATTTCGGTCACCTCAATTATGAAAAGTATAATATGCGCGTGAACAAGAAAAACATTTTGGGTGAATATTTCTCGTTCTTTACGCCATGTTTGTGAAACTATTTACAACTCAACTAAATAAAATTGTATCGAAACGACTTTGTATCAACTCTGTCTGCGACGATTTAACCCTTATCCGCCATGACCATGTCTCCTGGTCACCGTCTCGACTTACTGCCAAAATCCAGAGAGTTCTCCTCTCTGTAGTGGTTTCTTCGAATTCCTAGCCCTTGTTTTTGACAAATGATGGAATACGAAAAAATCTTTGGGTGTTTTTCTTCTCACTTTTTCTACAACAACCAACAACGATGCAAACTACCAAATCTACTACCGCACTCTTACATCTCTTCGAGCTGGTTTTGATCACGTTTGAGGGACACCAACATGGCGTATAGCAACCGTTATCAAGCGGCGGGGCACATGGGTGAAAACCAAGAATACATGAGTTACCGTAAAATTACAGTGCGTCAGTATCCAGGTTAGCATAGATTGCCCGGGTTACTTAGCTACGTGTAGCCAGCATAGAAGATGTGATATATCAGTTCAGCTCAGTTCAATGGGCAGTATGGTTTTTTCCCTGCTATAAATTAAACGGTAAACATTCTTCAGTGGGCCTCTCACCCCACCCTTTGCTCACACCAGAGGGCAGAAGCAAGAGAAAGCAAATATTGTCTTTTCATACCTGGAATATGCCCACAGCTACTTTTAGTTTGACTTCCTGCTGCAAAATGAGCTCTCTTTTCAGCAAGGAAAGTTTCTTCAAAAATTGGCTCTTCATTTCTTGGCTTGATGACATTTTCGGAAGACCCTGTTGGTTGGTTATAAAAATGCTTTCATTGTGAGGGAAAGTTGATAGAGTTCTTTTAAGGAATCCTATTAACTACAAAAGATTTACCAGATGTTCTGGAATAGTAGGTGCTTTGGGATTGCATATCATTGCCTTGTCCATTTGGACACTTTTAATTTGAATTACACTTCAGCCATACTTTTCATGATAGAACATTCACGTACATGTTAAAGGTCAAACTTGATCCCAGGTTAATTTTGATTTAACCTAGGTTGATTCTCAATTTCCTTTGTCTTCTAGGAGTCGTAGTCAAAGGAAATCAAGAATCAACCTAGGTTAAAAATATTTAACCTGGGAACTAATTTGACCCGTAACATTGCATAACTTTTGAAACTTACAGTTTATGGCCCTGTGAAATACTAAGTTACATCAACACTATTAAAATACCGAATTACCAAAATACAAAAACACTAGGTTTATTAATAAGTGTTATGGGGCAAGAAAACCATGAACATCTGAAATTGATTTTGCCTAAGTGGCCAATCGCAATAATGTTCGGAACACACAGGCAAAAGTCATACTAACATGTACAAAATAGTATAAATCATATTCATTGTTTTATGCATGAGTTTCAAAGCAACAACTCTTACCATAGACCATCTTCCACATTCTCTCCACGAGGGAAATGCATTGTTCCTTCCAGCTGTTCATTTCTCCATAACTTGATTTTAATGTTTTAACCTCTTCGAGTCGCATTCGATGCCTAACACGAACATCGTCAATTGTTTTTGCCCATTTTGCAGGATCATCTGAATTCACGATGCATGTATGACCATGTGGAACATTCTCTAATGCATTGGCAATTCCCGACTTACTAGCAACAAGAATGGGTAGGCCTGCAGACAAGGCCTCGAGTGCGACAAGACCAAATCCCTCTGATTTTGATGGCATAATGGCAAGGTCAGCTTCACACAGCAAATCTTTCAGTTTCTCTCTGCTTTGTATAAATTTTCTAACAGTTAACTGCGCTTCGGCAATACCACGTTGAAGAAGTTTTCCCCTGACTTCTTCTTGTTTTCCTTCAGGCGCTCCCACAAAGATTAGATGGTAAGGTTTGTTTCTTAGCCGTTGATCAGTAAATGCCTTAGCAGCAATGTTGTATCCTTTGAGTTCAAAGTCCTCATCATCCCCACGACCAAATAACAACACTTTAAATTCGCCATCCTTGTTAGGATCTTGTTTTGCTACTAAATCCCCAAACTCCCTTTGAAAAAGACCTGGAGTAATGGACAAAACGTCTTGATCTGTCTTACATCGCAGTAAATATGAAGAGTATGTTTCTTTCAGTCTGGGCCCCACGGGTACAACAAGATCAGCAAGTTTGCAAAGTTCAACCTCTGATTCTTGTTTTGTTTCACCTTTTGAAATGGGGTCACTGTAGCATTTGTATCTGCTCAGGTCCTCTGGAGCAGTGTGAACCACTTGTACCCACTTGCAATTTGGAAATCGAGCAGATTCTCTGATGAACTGTACTTGTCGACCAAGTTTAACACCATGGCCAACAACGATGTCCATCAAGTGGTCCTGGGGTGGAATGCTCAACCAATCAAGACGATCATATGCTGCACGTTCTTTCGCCTCAACAATGGTGATTCCATAGGCATCAGCTTCTCTTATTTCTTCAGTGCTGCAAGCTTTTTCTGGACACAATAGAGATACAATTACTCCTGGCTGCTGTGAAAGGTGAATAGCAAGCTCTCTGTTTATGGTCGACAACCCCCCAGCAGATGAACCCCACTCATCACCAAGAAGAGTAACGTTCAAGGTTCTGGTGGTAGCAGATAACGCACTCTGTCCAGTTGCTTTCTGTGGTATGGTTTCATCTCCACTATTAGAAAAGCTAGTCTGAAGGAAAGAATAAAAGTAATGAGAACGACAAGCGACTCGAAAATGCTGGAGAGTTTTGTTTTGTTAACTGTGAGGGGACCCATAAAAAGCCGCCTTGGTGAGTTTTAAGTTTCGAGTTGTACTTCAAAAGGCTTGAAATTGTCTTCAGAAACAAACAGAGAGTAACGGGTACTACGCAAAATTAATACGTGTTAATTTCCTATTTTAACTCATCGTTTCAAAAGGCAGAACTTAGAACATAATTTTTTTGCTTTTAAATTCCTGTGGCAATCCCTTTCGGAAACAACGTCTACTTGTCTTGTCAACCTTTCACTACCCAAAACGAAGCCAATAGGAGAATTGTTCTTTGGCTTAAATTCAAGACAAGCGCAAACATCCCGAGCCATGTTTTGCCACAGTAAAGGTCTAGCCAAAGCTATTGGTTATTTCTATAACCCTTTAGGCCTGAATGTTTGGGGGAGAAAAATTTGCCACAAATTTGCTCACTAATTTTACTGAAAATGAATGGTCACAAATCAAGTGAAGAATAACAAGAAAAGATATGATAGATGCTTTCTTTATTTAATTCACATCGGAAGTAAAAAAATAATCAAACAGTTATGGGTTTGAAAACAAACAAACAAACCCAGTCTGTGCGTAAAACGCTTCTAACACTGAGTTTCTTGTTTCAATCCAGGAAACCTTCAATGATCAATAAATTTACCGAAGAAAGATACTCCATATAATTGTTGCTATTGTCTTGTTTTGTACCCCATCAATCTGCCCCTTACTGTTAAAGATTGTTGTCGACAGTCAAGGCTTTAGACGGATTAGGGCCTTTCATAAAACAAGTGAAAACAAAAAACCTTCTGAGAAGTCAGACTGTTGACGTTCCATGTGTCTTTCACATTTTGGAGTTGGCCAGAAGATGCAGCCATGGTTCAGTGGTGGAGGAAAATGCAGATCCTCCGTGATGTACTGCTGAGTCCTGTCTGTAACTCTGAAAAATTGAAGATGAAACTCACTTTTTACTATTAATATTATCCAAGCTATTCTTCTATAACTAAACACATATGGTTTTTACATGTATTTTTCCCGTTTCCACTACTGTTATCAAAAGAAATTGTATTATCACATCTAATGAGCCCAACTGGCCATTTTATAAGAATTCAGACTGATTTTATGTCATCATGCCCCGGATTGAGAGACAAACTTCTTTCCAGAGTACTTACTCCCACTGTATGAATACTTTAAAGTAAGCAATGTTTATTTTTTATTTTTTTAATTATATTTTAAGCTTCTCTAATTTAAATTAACGAATGCATGAGTTAGTTATCAATAGCTTTTGCAGCACTGTACATGAAACTATTGCAGCATAGTAACACTCAGATCTGTTGGAGAACATAAAAGTTTGCTTCTTTAAACTGAGTTGGACAATTTCCGAGAAACACACCCAGCTAGTGGTCAGACCTAGAATGGCGGGATTGCGAGTCCGACGAGCTGACTTCTCAGCCACACTGCCTCCTCATGGTACCATACCGGAACTACAACAAGAGTAAATCTTTGTAGTGGGGAGGATATATGCAGAATTTTTATCGAATTGTGCGCTTTTGGGTTAAAAGCATCACATTTGGAAAAATGTTGCCTCTTCGATATTCTACACTGATTAATCTCTGATATGGAGCCAACGCGGATTTTGGTGCTGACGCGAGTTATGGGGATTTTATTTAAACGGCAGCAATCTTGACCGCAAGTGAAATGATGAATCCCCGGAAGGTGAATTTCTTTGCTTTCCAGTAACTCTTAAATTCAAAAATCAGTTCATTTTTTCTTATTTACAAAGATTTATAAGGCTGTATTATTGCAATACTGCAGATTGCATTTATGGAAATGGAGAATTTTAGCGTTTGGCTTTACCTTATCTATTGCAAAGCGAATGATGTAAACAATAAAGCATTTGATTACTGCAAAACTATGAACGTTGTAATAGAAAAAAAAAATTAAAATAGACATAGCTATTGTTTAAGAACCGTAATTTTTGTACCATGGTTACTAAATTTCATGTCCGCAGCTAAAGAATTATTATACAAATCACAACGTCGTTCATTGATTCCGTGAGTATTTAGAGTGCCATACGTTTTGCATGCATTTTTGCAAATCAGCTCACTGTGCAAAGAAGTCTACATAGGCGTATCCCAGGCTGAAACTAAGCTACCGTTTCCGCGAACCTGATATACGAAATGTGTATCAAAACCAGAAGGGTACCAATGAAGCCTCCTAATCATTCTAAGAATATCAAATGGGAAAAAAATATAAAAGCTGCTGTCGCGTTACAAGATTTAGGCTTTAATATAATTAACAATTGATAACAAAGTAACTGCAGCGAAAAAACTTAACTTGGATATGAGTTAAGAAAATTGATCTTTACGCACGGCGGATTGGGGAACCGATTAACTTTTAATTTCTTTTATTTTTCTTTCAAATGGATCACCATGCATAGAAGTATGATCCGTAACAATGGAATAAATGCTTGATATAATAGATCAACTGACTGTTATTCAATATTATTGAATAACAGCCAGTTACCTGAAAGTTGACCAATGAAAGCTTTTAAAACTAGACAAAGGTTTATATTTATTCGGACTAATGCACACACATTTATATGACTGTATACAACAACCGTGAATAAATAATGATTAAAGATTAAAGAACAAAACGAGGCAGCCAAAGCCATTGTTTATAACTGAATCTACACGTATTAGATGTAAAATAAGTAATATGTTGGGAATCAACCAACTTCAACCGTCGTGGAAGTAGTAGACGATAAAACTTTTACAAACGAAATAGCAGACAAGTACAGGCAAGTTCTGCATTGCTGAGCACGGCCTGGTGGGCCTTCGTCTTTGCGAAGCGACTTGTCTTTGTATAGAAACAACTCAAACTGCAAGTTTGAAATGAAACGACCTGAATCCCACACCTTAACTTTGTCAATGCTTTATGCAAATATAACTTGAGGAATCCTACTAAGTACTTGAATCTACACAAGAACGGAAGTTAATATCCGGAATTTCTTGGCGTAAAGAAGCACGGTTATTTTCGGTGTCCAATGCTACATTCACCTCAAAGAATAAGACTGGTAAGCATTTGAAGAGGTAATCACTGAGTATTTATGATTGTAATAGGAGCAATCGATCATCCAACTTATGCCTACTCAGATCCAAATTGCGAAGGGTTATTTGCTAACTTCAAAGTGCGATAAAAAACCTTAGTTTTCCTACCTTGCTAGCTTGAAAGTCCAGCTTTCCCCCCTTTTTTTCCGATTATATCTTATTAGATCTGACTTCATGTATTTATCTTGCTGAATCGGCCAACTAACAAGATCTAACTAAACCGACGCCGCCATTTTTAACGCTAAATCAGCCAAGCGGAATCAGATTTACGTATTTCTTGCAGAATTCATAGTGACCGTATCAGGGCGCATAAATCGGTTGAGAAACTTTAAGATTCCCTTCACCCCGGAGGTGCTAGGGCTACGAGTGAACAAACTCACTTCCGGTGAATTCAACCCGGGAGTTTAAGTATCCTTGTGTAAGCGCAGTACTCTTTTTGGGTAGTGCTCACCTCTATCCTTTTCTAGCAATTTGGAAACTTCATTTATATTTTAGAGCAGCCAATTCTAAAGATAAAACACTGAATATCAATTTCCGTGGCCGACCAGTGACCTTCTTTCTGCTGATCGATCTTTACTCTGCCCGTTACTTTTTTC